GGACATCTTGTCAAGTCGCGCTACTTTGTATATATCTGCTGCTGCACGTCTGTTTTCTATTCTCTGGTCTGGGCGTCTGAGGAATGCGCAACCGTTTTGAGCGAATGAGCGAGTGAGTAGCAGAAAATCCCTTTGCGACAGAGGCTGCGAGGTAAGAGGGCGAAGAAGCGCTTGTTGATGACGTTGGGCTGGCTTGGTCGGGTTCAGGAGTGACGATGGTGTTTAGGCCCCGCAACAAACAATCGATAATCGCCGGCCGCAACCACCACCGCCCACCTCCACTACACTAGCACGTGATACGCCTAGTTCCCCTTGTCAAACAGGCACATGCATCTCATTGACACACGATACACTTCGCGTGTTATAGATACGCCATGCATTATCTACATGGTTACTTTTTCAGGCGACAAATCATCAAAGGAATCAACGCCACCAATGTATGGAGAAAACAAATACTCTGCATATACTGCGCCTCTATCATGAATCTAGCATCTAACCCTCTCACTAGGTGACAATTCCATCCACCAAATGCTACATCCTCTAACAGACATGTCGCATCCGCAATGCTTTTCTCATGGCTTATTTGCTAAAGTACGGATCTTGCTCAAAGTAATCGCCATCGTCACGTCTACGCCCGTTGCGGTTTCCGTTTCTGCCTCGCGTATCGGGCGTATCATCCATCGTTTCCAACTCGTCCGCCTCGTAGTCTTGCATGCCCTTCTTGATACGCTGGAGCTGTCCACTGACGTAGTGGTTCAGACGATCCTCCATAGCTAACTTTTGCTCAATCGCTGCTTGGTCCAATACACCGACTGAGTTCTTGCGCCTCACCGGGCCTGTTTCATCATCATAGTCTTCTTCGCCGTTGGTCGACGTCTCTCCCCAGTCACTTCGGAAGCCGATGCTACGGCTTGTCGATGATCGACGAAGAGCGTGGCGTTTGGCCGGTTTGCCCGCAGGCGTAAAGACATCGTCAAAGTAGTGGCTAGCAGCACCAGTTGGTGTGCGTGGTGTCTGTGGGAGACGACAAGTCATACTGTCTCTCATTAGCTTTGTTATACTGCAATCTCATGAGCAAACTTACCCAGTGTCATGAATCATCTTCGCAATCAGACCGGTCCAGCCGCACTGATGTGTCGCTCCCAACCCACGTCCAGTGTCGCCATCGAAAAACTCATGGTACCACATGTAGTCTTTCCAGTTGGGATCAAAGTCGAGCATCTCATTTCCGTTGTTGATGGCTCTTCTGCCATCGTCTCCGCGGGCAAACAAATGCTGGAGACGATGCTGAATCTCCTCTGCTACGTGGCCAAGATGCATATAGTCACCAGAACCTGTAGGGCACTCAACCTTCAAGTTGTTGCCGTAGTAGAGATGGAACCTCTGGCAAGACTCGATAAGCAAGAAGTTTACCGCCAGCCAGATTGGGCCTCGCCAGTTGCTGTTGCCGCCGAAAAGGCCGCTGTCTGAATCACCCGGCAGGTAGGCCACCTCGTACTTTTCACCATTGACATCCATAGAGTAAGGATGGTCCTTGTGGTACTTTGAGAGTGATCGGATACCATGATCAGCCAAGAATTCATCTTCATCCAACATTCTCTTCATTATCCGCTTGAGACGGTCTTCGTTGACGAGTGACAGGAGCATACGGTTGCCCTGACCGCGTTTAGACAGCGTGTGAATATTACGCTTCGATTGCTCGGGGCGATTGGCGATAAACCATTCCACACGCTTCTTGAAACTGGGCAACCTGTTGATGATCTCTGGTTCAAGTGTCATGGTCGAATAGAGGGGAATCAGACCAACAAGAGAGCGGACGGGCATCTGATGACTCCATGGGCCACCCCATGAAATGGCATCGTAGTAGAAGCCGTCTTCTTCGTTCCATAGTGGCTTGGACTCGCCTTCGCTGCGGAATTGCATGGCGTCGCTAATCATGAGGAAGTGCTCGAAAAACTTGGAAGCCATGTCTTCGTAGATGCGGCGTCTCTTGGCAAGTTCGAGACAGATGTTCAGCATGTTCAGGCAGTAGAAGCCCATCCAGCCAGTGCTGTCGGCCTGCTCCAGAACACCGCCGGTCGGTAGAGGATCGGAACGGTTAAAGACACCAATATTGTCAAGACCCAAGAAACCACCCTCGAAGATGTTCTTCCCATCCGCGTCTTTTCGGTTGACCCACCAGGTGAAGTTGAGCAGCAGTTTCTGGAACACACGCTCAAGGCAGTCAAAGTCCTCGCGTCCATACATCTTACGCTCAATCTTGAACACCCTGAATAATGACCAGGCGTGAACTGGAGGGTTCACATCACCAAAATTCCATTCATAAGCCGGAAGTTGGCCGTTGGGATGCATGTACCACTCGCGTGTGAAGAGATCGAGCTGCTTCTTAGCAAAATCGGGATCGATCATTGCCAGTGTAATGCAATGGAACGCGCTGTCCCAGGCAGCAAAGAATGGATACTCCCAGGAGTCAGGCATGGAAAGAATGTCGTCCAGGTGCATGTGTTTCCACTCTTTGTTTCTTATTGCCTTTCTTTCAGGTGGCGGAGGGGGCATGGCCGGGTCACCATTGGCCCATTGGTCCCAGATGAAGTGGTAGTATTGCTTACACCACATCATACCGGAAAACGCTTGACGTTGGACATTGCGCAAGTCATCTGCAATTGGAAGAGGGCTTATCCTGTAGTAGAACTCGTCCGCCTCTGCGCGACGTTGCTCGATGATGTCGTCAAAGAGCTCTTCGTCGAGATAGCCGTCGTCTTTTCGCGAGAGCCTGAAGCGGACTACTGCACACTCGCCAGGCTGGACGCCCTCGCCTTCATCGAAAGCGTACCATGCGGCGCATTTGGTGCCCGTGTTTGCGGGGTTCACAGCGTCCTTTTCATCATCTACAATGTAGCGATGGAAAGCGTCCTTGACATATGGCGTCTTGTTCTCGACCTTCCATATGCCCTTGTAGTTGGTATCATTGTCGGTGAAGAGCAGCTCAGGCTGGATATCCTCGCCACTTGGACCGGTACCGGGAGACGGTGAAAGCTGAAAGTATCGGTCTCCGAGCTTGTGGTGTTTTGACTGAGCAGTCGTCGGGCCAATCTTAGTGATAGAAGGCTTTAGCTTTGGATCTTCGTGACCCCACGCCCAAGTGTTCCTGAACCAGCAGTGAGGCACTATGTGTAGTGGGGCTGGCTCTGGACCGCGATTGTAGGCTGTAACTCGAAAGCACAGCTCTTCCGGATCGTCAGCCTCTTTGGCAGTCTCAATGAATATGTCCCAATATCGGTCATCGTCGAAGATGCCAGTGTCTACAAGATTGTACTCAGGCTCGAGCCGTGTTCGCTTCGCGTTGGTCTCGATGAGATCTTCGTAGGGGAATTTCCGCTGAGGTAGCTTGTAGAGAAACTTCATGTACGAGTGCTACAAGTAACGTCAGTGAATTGATTCCAAACAGAACCAGGAACGTACAGTTGGGGTGTTGTCCAGGTGGAAATGGCACTCTTTGAGCGACTCGCCGTGGTTACCCTGAGGATTCGACAGTCCAAAAAGTCGCTCCTTCAAGAAATCACTATACAAAATCAGACGTCTGTCTCGTTTCTGTGCTCGAATTTACTCACTCCTTCTCATTCCAGAAAGCAAAGGCAATGTTCTGGAAGCCGTGCGAGTCGGAGACGCCAGCGATACCGTCCTCGCCCCAGCGGAAAGCACGCGACCGTGCCATGTCGTGCGTGAAATCTGCAGAAATTAGCAAAGACTGATAGAACAAATACAAAGAATTCACTTACGACTCCAAGCATCTCCATCATGGCTGTAAAGGAAAGTCGGTCAGCAAAAAGCGGCATCAAAGGGGACCATGGTCACTTACGAATAGTCTTCGCGGACTAGACGTGTGTCAGTACAGCTCAAACACGATTACACGGCATAAAACTGACCTGTTGCCCATTGCCGCTCAGCGACATAGGGACCCCATCGCTTCCAGTAAGCGGTGCGCTCGCGGTCCTGCTTGAGGCGCTGTTCCTCTTCGCAGAGGTATTCTTGATTCTCAATGAGAACCATTGTGACTGTAGGAGCCGGTGCGAGTGGGCTTCCGAGTTACTGTTAGGAAGGAAGAGTGGTGGGGTAGACGGCGCAAGGAGCGGCGTGGAGATAATAACTGCCTGCAGGCAGTATGGGGCAAACAATGGGGTAGTCCGACAGCCAAGATATTATTTCGAGAGGGGACTCGGGAGGAGGGGAGTATTGTACGCAGACAAGCGGTCTGAAAAAGAAAAAAAAGAAGGCAATTCTGAGGGCAATGGATGGATAAGAAGGACGACAGACGAGACAAGCGGTGGCCAGGCGGGTGTTGTTGAGCTAGCCCTTGCGAACCGTGGACGTGCAAGAATTCGCGATACAAAGTACATCATAGGTATCCGTGCATTGCGGCGGGACTTATCGCGAACGGCTGGCTTATGCCCACTCGAGTTTAACCTCTTCGCCCGCCCGGTTTCACGCCCATGTCGCTTGAGCCGCCGAAAACTGGCCCAGCGACGTTGCAAAAGACGTGTCGGGCTTGTATTGCACGTCATTGCTTCGACTTGGGCTTGACTGGACAAGTTGCGTCCCCAAAATCTCTGCGTCAAAGTGTTGAGCGAGCTTACTGCCACGATAGCAGGCGTTAGTGCCGGGTTGTTCCCCACCATGCCCATCGGCGATGATCAGCACTGGTCCAGCCCTCGGAGAGAGGCTCAATGGGCTGGGGGAGGTGGGGAATGGCTAGTCGTGACAGCCCCAGTCTCCGCGCTGTCTAGTGTAGTTCTTCACCCTGCACTGGGCAACAAAGACTTGGGGCATGCGGCATACGGCGACTGAGTAGTGTAACTGCACCTGACAGCTTATCCTGACATGCACATGCCAGCTGCTTCGCGCGTTGCACCGCACATCGCCATACGCCAATTCACGTGACGTTCCATGTTGCTGGTATGCTAGTACACCCTAGATATGCAGACAGCCCACTCTGTCATTACTTATCCCAATTGCCTTGCCAAGAACTCTTCAAAATTAATCTGTTCATGGCTGCGTGTCCATTCAATAGTCTGCTGACTTGTCGTATCTTCTATGTGGCCTTGTTGTAGCGAGTATGGATACCGCCGACGCATGTATCCCAGTCGCCAGGCTGTCTGTCTGCCCAAGGTTACCACATCGCTGGAGTCGACCATACCCCAACCCGCTAGTCGGCTTTGACACCAGAACAGCATACCAACTCTCCAAACGAGATGTCGTCGCATCATATCATCAGGACTGACCGTTCTATACATTATCCAGCCGCGACTACCAAGTTGCGTAGCCGGATGCTGTGCGTACTAGCCTACTCGGCCCGCCCAAGATTCCTCCTGCGTGCCGATACGACGGCGTTCCTCTTCCGCTGCAGGGGAGTAGCGAAGAAAGCTTGTGTCTTGGCCAAAGGCATACCCTCTTTCCATATCCATAGCAGCAGTTCTGCTGTAGTTTCGCAAGTACGATGACTTTTACAAAAGACATTCGCAACATGTGTATCGGTTATCAATGATTTCGTCGTAGAGGCCGACCAGAAACTTCTGGCACGAATCCAGAAAACCTTCAACCGAGCTGCTTTGGGCTATCTGCCACGGCGCTAAAGTCTGCATGAATGCAGTTGCGAAGTCCTTCATTGACCTGCGGCCATTGGGTACAAATTTAGACCTGAGCTGGTAGTAGATTTTGACGATCAGAAGAGCGCATACCAGTCGTGTATGCTCCGCCACAGACAGCACGACAGGCGTGACAGCCACCTGTGGGTCGATGTAGATCTGCATTGCAGCATTCATACTTTGTGCGACTATGTCTGCGGCCACGTCTACTTCGACGTAGATATCTACTAGACCGCGCATTTAGTCCGGGACATCACCCCCACTGCGGAGAAATTGAGAACAGATGACTGGCTATTGGTTCGAGTTAGCTTTCTCTAAAAGTTTAAGCGGCTTATCACTATCAAAGTCGTCACCGCTGATGTTGTGCAATGCGGTCGCAACATGTAGGAAGCCGGCGAAAGGCTGAGGGATTTCTGAGAGTGAACCTTGGATTACAATCTCTGGGTACTGAATACAAAGACTTCTGACATACAAGCTGACGCTCAGAAGCCTTTCAATCGAAATCATGTCGCACCTATTAAGTATCTATTGTATGTAGTCAGTTTCAAGCGCTTCTTGTGAGGCATTTCGTGAATCTTACAAGTAGTTGCAATTCTGCAGGCAAGTTAGTAAACTGGAAGACAGGTCTAGAGCCTCGTCTCAGGTTGCTAGTGGCTTTTTGTCTTGCATTTTGTGCCATTGAGTTGTGATGCGAGTGAGATGTAGAGATTGGGAGACTATAGTTGCCTACACATGTTGACGCTAGCGCCAATTACGGCAGATCCTCGGGCCGCGCAACGATGCTCAGGTACGTGGAAGTTCAACTAAGCCCAGTGCAACACATGCCCTTTACCATATCACCCCCGCACCCCCCGTATACAAGATGCTAGTCTCTCTCACAGTCGGAAAGGTCGATGCCGGTGTAGCCGTGCTGCTCACCGAAGACAAGCGCCTCGTGAGTGTCCTCAATGCCTTGCAGCACGCGAATCCACCCTAGCTGACGTCAATCCAGATCGAATTCCCCTCGATATTGCTTCCACCAGACATCTCTTCGGGGTCTATGGTGGATATTGACGTCGGGCGCAACTACAAGGCCGAAGCCGACGCACAGAAAGCCTTCCATGAGCTCCAGTCTGAGATCTTCCGCACCTTCGGTCAGCGCACGCCCTCGGCGCCTGTTCTCAAGTGTCGCAATGCCACGCAAACCTCCGTAGTCCTTGAATGGGACCCCATCGATATCGCAACCGCCGAGCTACGCAGCCTCACGCTCTACCGCAATGGTAACAAGGCTGGCACGATACCCAAGCCCACCGATCAGCACAGTACCAAGTTGAGTGGCCTGGCAGTCGACACAGAATACCAGTTTCACCTCGTCCTGAAAACTAGTGCAGGCACGTTCAGCAGCGAAAAGCTGAAGGTACAAACACACAAAATGACCGATCTGTCAGGTATTACCATTACCCCTGGCCACATGCCTGCAGCTCTTCGCGAGTCTCTACAGCGATCTGTGGAGCGAATCGGTGCTAAAATTGCGGACACTGTTCGCATTGACACGACGCATTTCATATGTACTGACGGACGAGGCCCAGCATGGGAGAAGGCAGTTGAGAACAACATTCCAGTTGTAGTGCCAGATTGGGTTATAGGATGCGAGAGGGAAGGAAGGATAGTTGGCGTTAGAGGCTACTACCTGAATGCCGATCCACGGCTACGGAGCGTCGGTGCCGGGTCTTCACAGCAGCAGTCTCAGCAATCATCACAACCGCAGCAGCAACAACAACAACAACCGCAGCAGCAGCAGCAGCAGCAACAGCAACAACAGCAACAACCAAGGAGTCCTATAATAAGCCCAAGGACTGAAATCACGCCACCCACTCCTGAGCAATCCAGGCAAGGCCGGGACGCAGAAGGTGCCGCACCACCTCCACCACCCAAAGATGACGTGAGCGAGAGAAGTGAGCGAAGCTCATTAGAGTCCAAGTCGCAAACAGAAGATCTGAAACCTCAATCTGGAAGGGAAAAGCAGCAAAGCGGAAGCGAAGCAGATGATTCAGAGCCAGAACCAAGTGACGAAAAATCTATAGAGGCGAGCCTACCCCAGAGAGTAAAACCAGGGCAGGCGTCTGTCGAAGAAGACGATAATGGAGAAAGCTTTCAAGATGTGCAGCTTTAGAAAAATGGTGCTGAGAGAGGATGTGGGCTGTGGACAGTTGTTGTTCGATCATAGCTTGAGTTGCGGGTTGTCCCACAACTCGCCTCCCGGTCGGGCACACCATAACTACCGTCAATGCTTACTTCTCTTACTCTCGAAAATCCTCCTTAACTACTGCATGCACTAGAAGATTGTAATGCATACCATTTTATCTAAGTCCGTATTTCTGGATATTACTGTCGATCCTCACAACGTCGCCTCCATGGTCCTGTTCCTCGCAAGCTATTGTTCATGGTTACAATTGCTACAATAAGACGCGTTGGTGTCCAACCAGTTTGACCTGACAAAGCTTATCTTGCAGCGTTAAATGACATTCGCAAAAGTATAGGATATTTGGAGAACAGATCTCGGCTACTCGGAATCTCGCGCAGAAGAGTCAGCACCTTATTGAGGACGGGAACAGTTGTCACTTTCTTATTGCCTTACTGTGTATGTCTGTCATATGATAATCCCGAGAGCATCCGGTCCGCCCTCACCCGGCTGGTACATACTTACGCAGCATATGGACAAGCTCACATTATGTAAGTCCTGTTATTGGAATAGAGGTATGTTCTTGAATCCCGTGCCGTCATTCAATGTCACTACAGGTACTACAACGTGTGTTTTCACGCAACTCCCTAGTCCATTCCAATCTTCTGTATATTCGATCTTGATAGAGGGTATCCACCATCCGATCCTTTTGATGAATAGTCTCGACTATTTGAGTAAATTTAGGTCAAGTTCCAATCACAGACATTTGTTTATGCTTCCAAACTGGATGCTAGCGTAGACGGAGCGTAAAATTGCGGAGTGCTGTCTCCAGATCAACGTATTCGGCCCTTCACCATTAACCTTGCGACAGCACGAACGGCACTCTACCCCTGGGCAACCCGTGCGGTGCTCACAGCGGAGTAGTAACTTTTCCTAACGTACCCTGTCGAAACTCAGTTTAGCGGGGAGTGGGGAGTTTGGAGATATATACTTTGGCGTCCGTCATCATATCCGATGTCTAGTGCGACTACGACTTTTCTTTCTTTCGAGACAGCGAAAAGGCAGAAAACATGGCCGTGTCCTTGCAGCTTCCACCTATATTCCTCTACCTCCAGTTTCCCATTCTTGTCTTGAATAACATCGTTGCGCTTGCGCTGGGACCTGAACGCCAGTTTCTGCGTGTGGCCATCAGCCTGCCCATACTTGTTGTGATCGCCGCGCAGTCACTATACCGAAAATGGGATGTCGGCTGGGGCTACAAGTACGGGGCCGAAACCTTTACGATGTGTCTGACTTATACATATATTGGTTGGATCCTTTTATCGATCCCGGACAAGGAGGGATGGTACAAGATCCAGTATGGCAAAGGAAACGAACAAGAGAAAGACAAAAATAAGATGACGAATGGCAAAATGAATGGTAATGATGTACCAGCGAACAAGAGATACCAATATGTACCAGGAGGTGCGGGTACAACTTTCTGGAGCCGATTGTGGTGGGCCACGCGTATTTCCTGTACAAACAGATATGTTGGTTGGAGTCAACAAGTCAAGGGTGTTGTCATGGAAGTTCCACCCGATTATCCTCGTCTGTAAGTTATTCCCTCAACCAACCCAAATCCTTCGCACGCCCCCACGACTGACACGCACCAAAAGTCGTTTCATTGTCGAAAAATCCATCACGGGTTTCCTATTCTGGGCAGCCTCAACTATCCTCACGGCACACTCCGCTGCATCCCCATACGGCACCTTTGTTGACTTGCAGCGTTCAAACGCAAAACCGTATCAGCCCTTCGCCCCAGATGCCCCCTTTTGGGCAGTCCGGTTCTGGTACACGTGGGTGCACATCCTAATCACGCGGTGCACCCTCGGAATTTGCTTCTCACTCACCAGTGCCCTTGCCGTCGCATTCGGCTTCGCGAACCCACGTGATTGTCCTTCTGGCTTCGGCAACCTCAGCGATCTTTGGAGCGTACGGCAAGCTTGGTCTGCGGTGTGGCACCAGCAGATACGCTTCATATGTAGCGCCCCGGCTATTTGGCTCGCTCACGATGTGTTCAAGTTTCCAAAAGGAAGCCCTGGATCAAGATTTGTGCGGCTTTTCGTGCCGTTCATTAATTCGGCAATTATCCACACTGTTGCGTCGATGCTGGTGAATCAGGCGTGGACCGATGATGGTGGGCTCGTGTTCTTCGGGAGCCAACCGGTGATTATCTTGGTCGAGGGTCATCTTATTGAGTTGGGGAAGAAGATGGGGTTCAGAGATAATTGGATGTGGCGGGTAGTGGGCTTTGTGTGGACGGTGATCATGATTGGATGGACTGCTGAGTATTGGGTCCGCAGACATATTAGTTATGGCATATGGGTACATGAAAGATGTCCTGATCTGTTTGGTATCGGACCTAAATAAGGTTGGATGTTAATTTCATGTCTCATTTGAGGTTGTATAGATTATAGAGCGAATTTTTGGGTTAATAGTAATGTTATGTTGCTCGTATTACATCAATCATCCGAAGCCGAGAAGTTCCTAAAATCCATTATCTATATATGAAAAGACAAATATTCCAAGTTTGGACCATCGGCAAACATGAGTCATTTCGCCAGAAACTCCCCCAAGCCGTTCAATGCCCAAACATCAACTTTAATTTATCCCAGTACGGCATCTCACCCAAACTCTCTCTCTCAAATCGGCCCACCAACCATACCCATTCTCAACCCTTCAACCCATCAAGAACCCCAACTTCCTATTAACAACCTCCAGCCTCTCCTTAACATTCCTTAACCTCTCATCACCCCTTTCCTCCGCCCCTTCCTTCCCCGCCCTCTTAGCCTTCTTCTCAAACCTCCCCTTCCACATCCCCACATAATTAACCACCCCCTGCCTCGCCCAAACCTGCCACCACTCTTCCTTCGCCCACCTCAGCAGCACTTCCTCCCTCGCACCCGCGTAGATCGCATCTGTCCAATACATACTTTCTTCTTTGGGACGCGGTGTGCAGAGCATGTACGGTGTGCCGGTGGAAAGGTCGAAGTGTGTCCAGCGGGTGAGACAGGCGAGTTTGGCTTCGATGGACATGCTGGGTGGTGGGGGGCGCGGGGAGAAGGGGATTAGGTGCAGGCGGGGGAGGGGGGGTAGGTGGATGGTTGTGGGTTGAGCTGAGGAGGGGGTGTTGGTGTATGTGATGATGGGGGTTGCGAGGTCCAGTGGTGGTTGTGGTGTTTCGTGGGAGGAGGTGGACTCGAGACCGGGTGGCGTCAGGGGTGTAGGTTTGAATGTGAGGGTGACTGATGCAATTGCGGTTTCCCATCCTTCTGTATCGATGGGGATGGCGTTCATAATGAGACCTGCGATTCGCTGTTCCTCGAGCTTTTTGAGATGGGCGGCGCGTTTGGTGTAGTACTGTTCTGCTGTGTTGGGGAACATGGTGAATACTTTGTCGCAGAGGGCGGATCTGGTGTGCTTGTACCATGCCTGAAGGTCTTGTGGGTTATTTTCCTCGCTGCTGGTTTCGGACTTTACAGTGTCGGGAGAACCAATGGCAAAACGGTAGCCAGGGTAGTGCTCGGGCACCCATTTCATGATGAAGTGAGTCCAGGGCGCAGATCGCTCTTCTAGTCGGTCTTGATAGTTTTCCTCGGCGAGCCGTGCAGCGAAATGTGCAGGATTGAAGAGCCATGAGCTAGCGAAATACTTATAGACTGGTAGCATGATCAGCATAATCTACGCTGCGCAACCAATGTTACTCAACAGACTTACTCTCTTCCTTGGTGCTGAACCCAGCATTCAAGATCCTGAAATCCAAACCAGCAATTCTCAAGACATCCTTGGGGTCCTTACTAATCCACACCATACTCCCGTTGTGATCCGTCTCTTCCACGTCTTCGACGCGAATGTGAATGCCTTCTGGGTCAATTGTGAGACCCAAGGGCTTAACCATACTTCCAATTATCTTGCTGCTACTCGCGTAGCCAAGTTCAAATGTGTACCATTCGAATAACTTTGGCTTGAAGCATACCTTGACATCGATCTGGATGAAGTAGTCTTCTCCGTCACATGGCGCATCGACGGCAAAATACATGCAATCATTAGTGAGATAGCCTCGACGGCCATGTGTGGTTTTGAAGACGTCTTTGATAAGCTGAACGGTTTCTTCCCAGGGGAAATCGTTTATGGTGTGGGTTCGTTGGAAATGCAACGGGCTACAAACTAGGAAGTCGACGTCACCGTAATCATTCTGAGGTACTTAGTAGATGAACCAATACTCTGCCTCTTAATCTTACCTTTTCGGGCATCTCAGTTGGAACGACTACATGTGTGAATACTGTTTGAAGTGCTGTAGTAGCTTTGGCTTTGGCTTTGCAGTATACGTCTAGATTGATGCGTGGACAATAGAGATTTTTGAAGGCATGACCGCCCATTGTGTAACGATGTAGTCGTACAAATGAGAGAGTAGGTTATGACCTGAATTTTTCCAAAAGATATAGATTTATGGAATTCAAGCAGAGGCGAGTGTTCTTGAGCAGATATAGTAATGGTGAATCTCTTTGACAGGAACCTGACAAGTAAAGCTAAGAGCAGGCTTCTTATCTCGAAGCATTGTATCTCGTAACATGACTACTGAAATTTGCATTCACTAGTATAATGTAGTTCTTATTTCGTATTCTAAATAGATATACAATGATAAGTGCTAAACAATCAGTGCCAGCTTTACCTTAATTGTGAAAGGAAAGTCCCCGGTATGACCGATTGCGACTGTGGGTCGGCACTAAATTTGGTACCCATTTCCAAAATAGTGCCGAATTCATACACATTTCGTGGGCTGCTGCGAACAAAAGTCTTGCACAATAGACTTTTACCATTATTTTTCTACTCATTTACTTTCACCTCCTAAGTTCACCACGAGAGATTTATATTGAGAGACTCAAAATCGTGAAACGTTCTCTATCAAAACTCAAGTCTAAGGCAGACAGGAAACCGTAGTCACATCTTTCTTGTGACTGCTATTAGCATCTGAATGTGACTACTACTGAGACCATGTGTATTTTGCGTTTCGTTTTTACACATGGAGATATTGCGGTACTTCCGATATCTCTTATAACAAGGTTCAGATGAACGATCAAAGCGACCGCTTGTCAGCCTTGTCAGTGTCAATTATAGAGCAGTTGCATGCTTCGATAAAGCAGGACACACCTTCTGCACATCACAAAAATGGCCCAACATCAGCCTCGCAGCTTGCACTGCGTTTCAATAAACTCAGCCTTGTGGCACTTCAGTCTCCAAAATTTGATTGGATCAGGCTGCACGACTTCACTTTCACCAGACCACTATCTGCGGCGCAGCAAACACTCTAAGCGCCCACCCCCCACGCTCCTCTAGATACATAAAACCACAACCACAACCACAACCACCACTCCCAATATCAATCCCAAAATTACAGAAACCAGAGCCAAAATGGCCCTCGCACGCCTCCAGGCTATCCTCGCATGCATCAATTGCGGCACCGCAGACCTCACTGCCTCCATCTACACCTCCGCCTACGAAAAAACATCCCTCCTCAAGGCAACCAACGCCCGCCCAGAAGCGCAAATCGCGAACAATGTAGTCGCAACACTGCTCACTACTTCAATCACCGGGCAAGCCCTCCGTATGCAGCTCGACTCGCTCGTCGGGGCTTACGGCTGGCGTCAGAACCTTGCACAGTACATCCTCGACAATCTCGCGCAGGCACTGCAAGCCTCGCACGAGAAACTCGGTCCTACCATCCACGCTGCGTACCTCCGGGCCTGGGACGCTGCAAAAAGCGTTGAGGGGTTCGTTGTCGAGCATCCCGTCATGTGTACGGTTATTGCGCTGGGTGTGCTTGCTCTTGTTGCACCATAGATTCTTGAAGCGCTGGGATTTGCGGAGTTGGGACCCGTGGAAGGTATGTGATCTATCTTGTCCTTGAGATATAGAAGTGTGATCTTTGCTGATGTTGGTTGATTGTGCAGGGAGCTTTGCGGCGTGGTGGCAGGCCAGGTATGCTGGGTACGTGCCTAAGGGTTCTTTGTTTTCGTTTTTCGAGCGACTGGGAATGAAGTGGCATTGGAAGCTAGTTGTTTGAAGGAGAGTTGTGGAGGAAGAACAAGAGGAGAATTTGGGCTCGTATGGCTGGAGACGCGGTTCCGTGATGTACCTGTGGGCCCACTGGGGTGTACTGGGACATAGTCGGTTGCAGATTGTGATGTGTGACGGCGGCACAGGGCCCGAATACAATGGGAAATCTTTGTGGAGCTGCTCTAGCGGTGCTGTTATCTCATCAATGTCATATGGAGAAATCGATGGAGTGGTGTAAACGTGTGATTCAACTATCAATCGCTAGTTACGTAGAAGCACCGGCGACTTATCGAAGTCCATCCGTCTCCAAACTCACATTATTTGCTCTGGATCCATAAATACCACCATCTAGAATCCACTGTTCATTGTCGTCATTATCGTCTTGTACTCGCCGCCATGTTTGTCTCCTTTCACCACCCTTCTCTTTCCCTTTACTCTCCTCGATATTAATAGTTGGTCGGATCAGGCTACCCAACAGTGGGTTTCTGCTGAACGCGCCACCGCCACTAGATAGGGTGTTTCTATCTGCTGGGCCTTGATTGGATTCAGGAACTTCGTCTTCGCTCTCTGGAGTAACAGGCCGCTCTGCAGCAGCCATGCGCCGAACGAGCTTCTTGCCGGAAAGATCAATGCTGGCGACAACTTTGCGCTTCTCGTACTCTGGCCGCGCATTCCATTCTTGATCTCGTAGGGCTTTTTGCTGGCGCTTGAGCTGCATGGCACGTTCCTGCGGGCTGGCCCACATGCTCAGTCCGGCACTTGTGGTTTCAAAATCTGCAGCCTCATCATGTACTTGAGTTCGCTTCGCATTTTGCGCCTGGAAGGCTAGTAGCTTGTCTCTATGTTGTTTAGCTTTGGCCAGTTTCTCGTTCTCCGACTCCACATCTGAGGCAGGATTGGAAGACGCGGGTGTAGGACCACGGGGAGTAGAAAAAGGGCGAGGCGCCAATGATACTTCGGCGCGCTTCTGGCCGGCATTGTTTACGGCCATCTTCTCTTTTCCGCGTTCTTCACGAAGAATGCGCACCATAGACTGGATATCTTGTGGACTCAAGAGTGCAGAATTGCAGAAAGTACATGGGCCGATGCCTTCCTTTACACAGATTATCTTGCCGCAATTCAAGCAATTCGGCGCAGCTTCTAGGAGTGGATGCCTAGTAGCCATACAATTGCATTTCCGTTTGCTGTTGTCTTGGGTGGCTAAAGTAGGATTCGTCTGAATTTCTAGCGCTCTGATGGCTGACTCTAGGTCGTTCAGTGCTGTTGACGCGCCATGCATAGGTGTGCCACCAGTAACATTGACCTTGGCCTTGGGTTTGGGTTTGGGCTTGGTTTCCCCTACCACGGTGCCTGGAAGCTTCGCGACTGGGGGAGCAGGGGAGACACCACGAGACTTCGGTGTCGCTGCTCCTGATGATGCAGTCGATTTTGGCAGCTGCAAAGCATCTGGCTGTTCCGAAAGTCCGAATTTGGCCGCTTTCGCTTTTGAACTACCCGCCATGTAATCTTCCTCATCTTTCTTCATGTACGCGCCGGAAACATTTCCATAATTATCAGGTTGCCGCGGTGGTGGGAGTTTATTCAACCCGGCTTGCTTCTTCTTCTTAGGCTTTGACTTGGGTACTTCTGATATATCATTCAGCGGCTGGTTCTGACGTGCACCAGCGTTACTCTTGGGTTTCCTCCGATTGTTGAAAGAGGTAATGAACTCAAGTGCTTGTGGACTATCTCCGAGTAAATTCTGTAGATGGTCTGCTGCTTCCTTCTGAGAGAGAGAGTCCGTATATGATATGACCTGCTTTAGCGACTCGTCATCAAGGGGAAGAAGCTTCGAGAGCTGTGGTAGTGCCCAAGATGATAGATCCATGATTGCAGTTGTTGGGGCTTGGATATGGTTGAAGTCAGAAGGTGTCTGCCGTGATTCATCACTTCGCGCTACTAGTCAGTGTGGCTGCTGTGGCTGGTGAAGGGGACCGTGCGTTGATCTAGCATTGGATTTCCAGATGCTGGGGCAGCTGCCATCATAGTCCTCATTCGCAACTCCGCACATCCACTATGGCTACCGACGTCGCACTTGACACTACGATCGTATGTTTCACGTTATCTACAAGGCAAAATCAATCTAACTTCAACAGGGCACTGTTGTCGTCGAACTCTATAATGACCATGCGCCAAAGACGTGCAAGAACTTCTTAACCCTGGCCCAGCGCGGCTACTTTAACGGCCTCATATTCCACCGCATAATACCAAACTTTATGATCCAAGGAGGCGACCCTACAGGTACCGGCCGAGGTGGTGAATCCATTTATGGCGAAAAATTTGAAGACGAGATATCCCCACAGCTCAAACATACTGGAGCTGGCATCCTTAGTATGGCCAATTCAGGCCCTAACACCAACGGGTCTCAGTTCTTTATTACTCTCGCACCCACACCATGGCTGGACGGTAAGCACACCATCTTTGGCAGGGTCAAGAGCGGCATGCAGGTTGTGAAGAAGCTTGGTTTGGTCAAAACAGACAAAGAGGATCGCCCGGTAGAAGAAGTCAAGATTGTTAGGGCATACCTCCCAGACGATAATGCTCAAGCATTACAACGCTACTAGTGCGTGACAAAAGATAAATTGGTTTGACGCTCGCGCAAAAGCCTCGTGCTCGCGATGTCAATAGTGCTCTGGTGTGAGTTTGGAACCTCCATATTGCAGAATAGACACTCATATGCCCAGCTAGTTCAAAGCGCCGTTCGGGTGGATCAACACCTTGGTATACCCTTCGATCCTCTTGTCAAACTTCTCGTACGCCGCTGGTGCATCCTCGATGTTGATCTCGTGAGACACAACGAAGCTTGGCTTGGCCCTGCCCGACACGATCATATCGCGAAGATACCTGTTGTAGGCTTTGACGTTGCATTGTCCCGTTCCGAGGTGCAGGCCCTACGTGGATCAGTGCTGGAAAATGAATATGGTGCATATGCATACCTTTTCAAAAAGCTTTCCGAATGAGATCAAAATCTGGCCTTTCTTGCTTTGTTCATCAGGCGCTCCAGGATCAGCTGGCACATAAAGTCCTGGAATGCCTAGCCCTCCAGTTGGACGCGTGACCATGATACACTGGTCCAGGACGATGTTGGGTTTCTCTGTGCTGCCCGATGAATCTACTGCCTGGTATCCAACGGCATCGACTGCGCGATCAACCATGCCGCCGTTGAGCTTGATAATTTGTTCAACAGGGTCGCTCTTTTTGAAGTCGATGGGTATGCAACCGATCTTTTCCGCTGCTTGTAGACGTTCGGGCACCGTATCCACAACAAACACCTTGCTTGCGCCGCGTAGCACACCACTGTATGCTGCCATCAAACCAACAGGGCCCGCGCCAAACACTGCTACACTCTCGCCAGACTTGAAACCAGAGAGCACTAGCCCGTGCCATCCTGTTGGGAAAATGTCCGCAAGTAGGATGAAGTCAGCCTCGTGCTCGGTCCCTTGTGGCAGTTTCAGTGCATTGAAGTCGGCGAACGGTACTCTGAGGTATTGTGCTTGGCCGCCTTGATATGGTCCCATGGCGACATATCCATACGCACCACCAGCGAAGCCGGGGTTTACACTATGATTGTTAGACAATATTATGAGAGCTTTCCGCCAAGTCTTGACTTACCCAGTACAGAATGCTGTCTTACCTTCTTCGCAATTGCGACACCTTCCGTCTGCAACATTCTAGGAAGCTTAGCGTCAGCCCACTCATCTACGGATGGCGTTATGCGTACTCACAAATGGCAATACAATCCGATCGCCCTTCTCCAAGAGAGTCACGCCCGGCCCAGCCTCGATGACGATCCCCATGTTCTCATGGCCGAAAACGAGACCAGCTTCCGCTGCGGTCCGTCCCTGGTACATGTGCAAGTCGGATCCGCAAATGGCTGCTGTTGTGACCTTAACAATGACGTCATCTGGATGCTGGATCTTGGGTAGCTCAACGTCCTTGACTGAGACCTTGAATGGGCCTTCGTAGTGTACTGCTTTCATGGTGCTGCTCGACATGTTTGGGGACTTCGACTTGATATTTTTTTGCTATGTGAGTCGCGTTTAGTATTGAGGTATGAGAGCGTTGTCAAATTCGGAAATGCAATCTATTAGGACCTAGGTATGAGTAAAGTTAAGAATAAGAGGTTTGTGATGTAGGAATGACACGGTTACATCCCTTTATCAAGAGAGAGCCATCCTGCTCCATTCATATACCCCTTCCCACTAGGTCTGTTTCGGTAGATAGGCCACTGCCCTTTTTACCTACCTGACAACGGGTTATCCCTTCCCCCGAGCATCACTACACAGGTTTTGAAGCAATCACGAGTGTGCTCTGGGTGGTCGCAAACCAAGTTGACTACGCACGTAGCCCGATGCCCCGCCCCATTTTGATGAGAAATTGGACATCACCCCTCATTCTTGGATTTTTTCGCTCGAGTTGGCATCTAGATTCGTCATTATTGAGGGGCTGGTGCGGCAGATAGGGAGGGGGTGTGGGGTAATGCTTTCCGAGTCGGAATCTAGTGTCTTGGGCTTGTTTCCGAGGGTGCTTTGCTTTCCTTGGACTATGGAATTCACGCAGTTGGAGTATATCAGTGTTGCATGAACGTGATTGATGTATGTATATTTTGTTTTCTGTCATTTGTTTGAAAAGTGAGTGTACTACTGTGTTATCGGGAATCGTAAAAGATGGTGGAAAGTATAGAGTTTGATAGATGGTAAAAGGATCTCGAGTTGGAAGTTGTCGAACTTAGTGCTGCGGCATTCGCTTGATTATTTATGTAAGGTCATATCGAGAGATCATAGTGTGGGGTTGATACATCTAGGAGTGTTTCGTTTCTTGTAGGATGTGAATGAGAATGACAAGTGCTTTCTTACATTTTGATTCGAGAACCACAAAACTACGTGGATGAAATGAATTGGAAAAGTTCCTATCCACTGTATCTAAGGTGGTTTGTAAATTAGTCAATATCTGACTGTTCATAGCACAAATGTATATTTGGATTTACACGAATCCCTTGTGATCAGTAGATTCGAAACACTCAAGAGATTTCACCTGAAATGACCCATAGGAGCATCAACAACCAGACGTGCTGAATCTAAATTTACACGTGTGGTATGCATAATTAGCTCTACGAGAGACACGGAGTTGCCCAACAAGGAAAATGTATGAACCCTCATTCTTACAGTCTGCTTTCCACCAGTCACGAAGCCAATCAAATGAGGATTTCGTGAAAGAGTGTTCGTCGCCAACGAGTTATCAAAAAGGTTCGCAGCATATTTCCATGAGCATACACGCCTCCTTACGATGCCCTTTTAGACGTAGCGTGATAGCATTAAGATACATGCTGATGGGCTTTTCGAAGCGTTCATCACCCTCTATCTTCCTGCCTAGTTGGAAGACTCGCGACTTTAGCTTTACTGCCTCTTCCTATCGTTTTTGTTCACTGTAGATTTTGACTAGACTATTCATTAGGAAGAAAGTGGAACACTGCCCATTAAGCTTTCAGTGTAGGTACAGTAAGGGCTTTATTGCCACTCGTATCTAAGTCTCGATCAACTTCGCGCCTTCTTTAAGGCCCTCCTCGACATCCTCCTTTGTACCACTCTTCTTCAAATATGCGGTAGCCATCACAGGATTTGGACCGCCGTTATTCTCCTTCCACTGGTTGATAGGAGCCGGAACCTTTCCATCATTGGACAGCATCTGGAATTTGTTGTATTCAACACCGTCTCCACTGGTAATCTCGCCATCATAGACGTATCGCATCCCAAAACGTCGTTGGTCTCTCGGGTTCAGAGGCCAGACTGTGCTGCCTATTTCAACGGATACTTTGCTGAACATCTTCCACTTATTTCCATCAACAGCTTTGGCCATTAAGTCATTGACACACTTTTCCATCGTGGCGGTTGAGACTGGGGGTTATGTCAAGCTTTGGGCTGGCTAGGACAAGAAGCAGCGGCTTATATACCAGTAATAGATCAACTCTGGTGAACAAGATATCAAACGCTCCAGGGCATGTGCCTAACCAGAAGTGACTCTCACACTGCCTGAGTTCATTGTAACGATAGCTAGTATATCAGCGTGCATCATTTAGGCACCAAGTTTTACAGCAATCAGCAAGCTCTTTTGACGCATGATACCGTCCTTGAATCAGAGTTCAGCAGCAGGAGCAGTCACATGATCTTCGTACATCAGCTCCCTGGTGTGTGCCAAGGACGGTCCAAGCGCATCACTTATATCAGTGGACTCTGCGATCCGCCGCAGCGACACTCCCCATCTTTGCGTCACCTCCTTCAGTTATGGGGTTACGGCTCTCTCAGAACGTAAACGTTTGCCTAGCTTTTGTATCTTTCTCTCGTCCTCGTCCACGAATGCATCACTCCTTTGGGGGTAGGAGTCTTGTCAGACACTTCACTCATTCTCTGGCCGGATCCTCGATGAAGGAGTCCTCTGAACTATTCGAGAACACATCGGGACGATGGATGTTCGTTGATTCTCTCCTTCAAGATCAACCTCAAACTAACATAGTAGAAGATGGAATGATTACTTTAAGCATGCTCAGAGAAGACGTACTTTTAATGTATCTGAGTTCAAGCGTTTGGCTGCTGCCGCCGTTAATCGGAATGCGAAAGATGTGGCCCGGCTTGAGAAACTCGGTGAGGGAGGCTTCAACCGAGCTTTTCTCATTACTATGTGTGATGGATTTCAGTTGGTCGGACGCATCCCTTATCTCTTTACCGAGCCAAGACCTCTGCTTGTTGCCAGTGAAGTCGCAACGATGCACTTTCTTCGTTTACATGGTATCCCTGTTCCCAGGATCTACGGGTACTCAGCTACATCAGATAACGGTGCTGGGACTGAATACATGTTTATGGAGCTTGTCCATGGGAAGAACCTTGGCGACATCTGGTTTGACCTGTCGATAGAGGCTAGAATCACTGTCGTCACTAACCTAGTTGAGTTAGAGTCTCGATTGTTCTCTCTTACCTTTCCAGCAAGTGGCAGTCTGTATCACACCAAAGATATGGGGCCTGGACTCAAGAAGGTCGAGGTGCCAATTGCGGATTCTGCATATGATGGTCACTTTTGCATTGGTTCTGATACAAGACTTAACATGTGGCGTGGAAAAAGGCTCAACATCCAGACTGACCGTGGACCATGTACGTATCAGCCTATCTCCATACCCTGAATATTCTGTTGAACTAGTTGAAATGACTTATTCTCTCTATCGTCCTAACTGACAATTTAAAAGACGCAGATTCCATAGCCGCTCTTGAAGCTGGAGCCAAAAAGGAAATTGCATATTTAACAAAATTCGGCCGACCGCTCCACCCGTTTCAGCGTCTACACCGGGAAGTCCATGGTTACCAATTACAATCCCCTTCTGAACACTTGAGCAACTTGGAAAAATACTTGCGAACTGTGCCACACCTCATACCCGACGGCAACAGTACCCTTGTCCACCCGACAATGAGACATCCTGATCTTCAACTAAATAACATCTTTGTGTCCGATGATTTCAGCATCACAAGTGTGATTGACTGGCAGCACTGCACAATCCTCCCACTTTTCCTGCAATGCGGTATCCCCAATAGTATCCAAAACTACGGCGACAGCATCTCCGAATCACTTACATTCCCTGATCTACCACCGAATTTCGACGAGTTAAGCGAGTATGCACAGTCTCAGGAGACAGAGCTCTTACGTCGGCGCCAACTTCACTACTTCTATGTCGCAGCGACTGCCTCCTTGAACCCAACGCATTACGATGCCTTAACAGAAAACTTTGGCACATTGAGGCGTAAACTCTTTGAACATGCGGGTGACCCATGGGAAGGCGATATCGTTACTCTCAAAAATGACTTGGTCTACTTGACAAAAAAGTGGGACAAAGTAGTGGCCTCTAAGTCCAATACAGGCGACGAGACTAGTCATCTCTGTCCTATCGCCTTCTCAGAAGACGAAGTGGCCGAATGCTTGCGTCTGAATGATGCGCAATTGGAGGCAGACAAATCACTTCGGAATTATAGAGATTTTATCGGTATTGGGATTGAAGGATGGGTGCCTGTTGAGCAGTATGACGAGATAAAGCAGCGGGAACAAGAGTTTAAGGCTGATGTACTCGAAGCTGCAGATGCTGAAGGAGAGGGAGAGAAGATTCGCGAGCATTGGATATTTGATGATTTTGATGAGGAGGAGTATTCGTAGGAACGTCATAGGCTCTACGTAGGGCCTCCAGAGTGCCATTGGGAATTGCATCCCGAATCACCTCATGAAGCTGTGGATGTTTATTAGCGAATGCATTGGGCATGTTCAGAGCTTATCCTAGTTCTTGTCATGTTCTGGGTAATTAGACTACCAAATAGAAGGAAGGTGAAGTTCACTCACGTATCTATAATTAGCACAGATCTGACTCTCATCGCCTTTCACATTTACCGCAACTGCCCAAGCAATCCGGTGATTCGGGCTTTCACTTCACTCACTCACATACAGTATATATGACGTTCATCAGATGTGAGGTAGTTTCCGCCATAGCCCCACCTTTCCATTACCTATGTTTCTCACCTCATTTCGTCTCTGTACCTGATCCATCAACTCTTCAACTTTCTCAACCCACTGCAAAAGATAAAGAGCGCACTAGAGTGACGCAAAAATTCTATTTTCTGTAATCTTACCAATCATACTGTGTAAATCTACAACCTCTTCTATACGTAAGTGAAAGTATGCTTATGTGCCATCATGAGCAAGACTGATAATAACCTTAATAGTTACAACTCACCTCTTATTACGAAAATGCCATCCCCCAAGAACACCGGTAGCGAAGTTGCGAACAAGAAGATGAATGGGCTGAAGGAATATAAGAGGACCCAGAAAGAGAAGAAATTTGCGCAGCGCGCCACCGCCGCCGCCGAGCGGATCAAGGCGAAGAAGATGTCCTCTACTTCCACTAAGGTGGTTAGACTGAGTGACGCTGAGTTCACCAAGGCTACTTTGACTCCGGAAGACACACGAGACATCGTCGCGCTGCGCAAGGCCTTGGAGCTTGCGTTGTATGAGAAGATAGAAACACCGCGCCAGATGCTTATCAGGTGCGACTTCGAGGCTTGTATGGATACCGAGTTCCATGGCAACGACGCTGAGTTGGACTACATGGTGCCAAATGATGTGTATCTTGATGACAACGGATTTGAGACAACCATCCGCAAAAGCGACTGCAATACACACGACCGATTATTTGCACATGAGGCAGAGCTGTCGCCTTTGGAACGGATGGAGATTGAGAAGAAAGTCGCCCTCTCACATCCTGCCTCTCAAGCACACCTGTGCGATTCTCGTTTCTTCGAACACATACTTTCTGCCGCATCTGCCCAGGAGAAGGCCGTTGCTGCCAAAGTGCAGGATGCAGCCAAGTTTCCGACTGGTTCTCACCCACCCGAGTCTATGTCTACACAGGTGCCGCATTTGATGGATCCCGCCATCATCAGCCATAAGATCAAGCAACAGACACCTGCAAAGCTGGGAATGCTTATCACCAGTAACACCCAAACGACGAACAAGCACGCGAAGGGCACTGGTCTAAATGACAGCCCCTCAAGCCTCACCGCAAGACTCGTTTCGACGCCAGACTCTTCACCCACCAGCACTCATCGCTCCAGCGTGTCTTCATCGGTTGGATTTAATGCTCGTGCATATACGCCTCCAACTCCTCAACTAACTTGTGCAACTTTAGGTTACTGGGGCCATTGCTCTTACCCTAAGCCTAGGGATACTGTTGACTGGAGCCTTCTGGGTTTGAATTCGAGCATGTGAGCTACGGTTCTGTATGGACAGGGAAGGGGTACTCGGATGTGTTCTTTAGCCAAGGACAATGGTTGTTTATGCTTCCATTCATGTATACACAGCAGTCACATGTGAGGGAAAGGTCCAGTACGGGCATAAAAAGGGTACAATTTCACTGAACTGTGTGGACGATGTCTCCTTAGTTAGTATGGGGTGCAATATGCAGATGAAGTGTCAGATGGTATGATACGAGAGCGAACACCCTAGCAGCGACGCTCGGTGGAGAAAGGAAGCGGTCACGCAGGGACTGAGCAAGTGCGGGGGATGAATTGTGGAGCTTGGACCGGCCAAGGATCGCTGCAAGTGCAAGTGCTACTAGTGCATACGTAGTATGTAAGTAATTTGGGTTCGGTAGCCATCATTCCTCTCCACCACACATGTCCACTTCACGATATTGCTAGCACAGGACGTATCCAGCTCGCTATTACTAGGTATTCTTTCTAGCACCACGACTCGCTATTGCAAGCAAATACACACACTCCACATACGCCATGCTCAAGTCAAAGTGGGCAACACAGCCCGACGAGGCAGACAAAACTCCAGTGCCAGTCGCCGACAAGACCCCGCCAAAGCCACAACCACCGTCCGAGCCAGCAGCACCAGCACCAGCTCAGGTTAGTCATGCACCGCTATGTGAAATCTACTGTCACTGTTGTCGTTTCCCTTTCTATCATTCACATTTTGTGTCCCTGTCTACGAAACTGTCCTAACAAAATGCCAGGTTGCCAGCGCGTCCTACGACCCCGCCTATGACGACCCCTTAATAGACCCATTCGCTCAAACTGCAAGCACCGACGACCTATTTTTTGACGACGATATCACGCCTATTGCCGAGCCAGTCGTCGAGGCAAATCCACCAGAGCTGCAGCCTTCCGCCCCCGAGTTTGTACCTGAAGAGCCAAAGCCACCTGTCGCACCACAGGCGCATCTGGCGCCGCAAGCCCCAAGAGAGCCCAGGAACAACGATAGAGGAAGCCGTGGCCGTGGACGAGGAAGGGGCCGTGGAAGGGGCCGTGGAGGCCATAATACTGATATTCGGCTTGAACAAAACGACAAAAAGGCTGTCGAGGTGCCAAAAGAGGCGGAGCCCGCGACTGCAGACAAGGTCGCTACAGAAAATGCCGACTCTTCATCCGTCCCTCCATCTGCTCCCACAGAACCAAAAGAAAAACCAACCCACTCTGTGCGTGGCGACAGGACACTGACTGGTGGCGCCGCACGCACACGCCTGACCGAAGATGAATTGAACGCCAAGCTTGCCAACATGCGCATCAAGAACGAAGCTCGTCAGACTGCTCACGCTCGCGCTGAAGCCGACAAGGGCAACTTTGAGGCTCGCGAAGCGGTTATGCAGCAGCAGGACATAGAGCGTAAGAAGGCACTAGCTGAGAAGCAAAAGGCCGAACGCCAGAGTCGTCAGCAGATGATGGGCGAGCGCGAGAAGAACCGACAGCGTAAGCTGAAAGCACAGCAGGGCAGAGAGTGGGACTTGGAGAAAGAGGATGGGTTTTCAGGTATTGGAGACGACAAGCGCAGAGGTGCCGCCAGAGGTGCTCACGGCGGTATTGCGCCCTCACGACCAGCCAACAACGGATTCAACGGCGACGATTATAATGAGCCTATGACACATTCTGGCCGGGGACGCGGCAGAGGCCGCGGTGGCCGAGGAGGACGAGGAGGACGTGGCGACTATGACGGAGCGGGATCGAGACCAGCAGAGCAGAAGAAGTTCGACAATCCCCCGCCTTCTGCCGCAGACTTCCCAGAGCTTCCTCCAGCGAAAGGCAAAGCTATTGAAACTAAGGACCCCGAACCCGAACCCGAACGTCCAACTATTCAGAAGCAAGACTCCTTTGGGTTGCCATCGCCAATGGAAAAGGGCCGTAGCTGGGCTGATGAAGTAGGCTCGTAGAAAGAGCTATTCCGAGACGAGGCCACCACAAGGAAAATGCCGAGAGTATACATTGTAGATGTGGAAATCCAAGAATCGGATATCACAGCCAGAGCGGTTGTATCAGAGAACGGACCTTGTACCGGCTATGAATGTGACGTTGACACGAATGCCAAGGATAATGAAAGAAAAGGACAAACGGCGATAACACTGTCCTCTGAAGACTCGGAAAGAACAGATCAAGGTTCTGATTGGGCCGAAAGCGGATACGGTTCTGCTTCCGAATCCCCTTCGACACCGCCATTCGCATCTCTGCGTGGCGGAGGCAGTTCAGAAGGGATCCGTGAGGAAGACCATTCAAGGTATACCTCCTTGCCATCTTTCTTGCTCAATTGTGAGAAAGCTTCTGACCTCTTTAGTGCTTCGTGTCAATCGCCCAACGCTGCATCATCCCCCCATGTGTTAGGTTCATGTACCATGTCGACACCGAATATGTCACTTCATACTACCTCGTCGCTACATACGATGCTTAGTGACTTTTTTTCACCTACGCCTTCATCAGCGTCGTCACCCATGTCTTCCACATTTGCGTGTCCAGATACAGCAAAGTGCTGCTCATCCCGTCATGCTCGAGAACCACCACTACCATCAGGACACACTCTATCTGATCCAGAAACTGGCTCTCAGGCCAGCCAGTAGCACGGTGCGGCTGAAGCTAATGATTTGGATCAAGCAAACGTGCAAGAGGGAAATGAGAGAAGTTTACAGCGGCAAGGCGACCATGGACCGGTGCAAATCTCACAAGCAGCAGTGGCAACAGGAAGGCGCGCTCAAAGTCCGGACCCCAACAAAATGCCAAACGCTTCTCATCCAGCCTATATGACAGACGAGGAATTTGATGCTCTTCCGTGTTGGTCAGATGTCGAAGGTGATCCATCCTACAACACCAGGTATCATCCGAGGCGCGCTACAAGCAATTCAGTGCGTCCAATTCTCCGTACGAAAGCCTCTTTTTCAACAAAAATCAGACCAATACCCCTAAGCGGTCCGCCCGGCTTTTCTCCCACTCCGCAATTTATCGGGGCATGCGATAAGCTACGGTTTTCATCATCAGACGAATTGGTCTCAGATGACCGAGATGAGCAGCCGCTGCTAGACAGGGCTTCAGCCGCAAGCGTTTGCCCAAGCCCGCGTTTGATTGGAACTATAGATGGAACTTCCTTCTTGGAGCTGGTCAATACAAGACTGCGCTCACATGCTGATCATGTACAGCATTCGACAAGGTGTTTGAACTCTATGCAAGATAATCCGAGTGCCCCTACCTCATCCAATGCTGATGAGTGGAGCGTTTACCATATCGGAGATAGAATGCTATCACGAAACTCACTGCCAGGGGCCATTGTAAGGACTGAAAGTGGTCAAACGGAAGCATGGATTGTTACTCCGGGTCGGCCATCAAAATCAAGTTCCGAAATCGCCAGAACATTGTCTAGCCGCACAGCTGGAGCTCCATCGACATCACATCTGAATGAAATCGACCCAGAACTGAATGATCCGACTCTCACTGATTCATTACCCCTTCGTTTGCGAGGTGGAGCCGGTTCAGAGGAAGAATACTCTGAAAAGAAATACACATCGCCTTCATCTAGACCCAGTCCGCTACCTTCAGTAATGTCGACATATCCTTCTCCTCAAGAATGGTTACAGCGCCTATCACTTCAAGGTGACCATGCAACTACGCCCTTCGATTATCCGCGTGCTACAAGGATACTGGGTCTTGGGCAAGGAGCATCACCTATCTTTGCATCATCAGCCACCTTGCAGGTGCCGGACTCTTCAAATACGCACGGCTCTGCTCTATGTTCTTCTTCCGAGACCCTGACCAATCAATCATCACAGGAACGCCCGCCAAATCATTCGCATTTAGATCCATCACAACCCCGTCCATCTTCTGGCGGGGAGGACGACGAACCCAGTCGTCCCACAGTCGTTCTGGAGGAATATCCTCCCGCTGTTCGAGTGATCCAGCCCCGATTAAGCGTATCCCAAATTGCTATATCCAACTTTCAGGAGCTACTTTCAGATAACGACCCCGGTCCACCCTACCCAGGCGACGGTGACCATCTTCCCACGCCGCCACCTTTCGTAGATGATTCTGGCGATCTAGACATAGAACTCGTTCCCCGCATCGTCATGAATCCTAGCATGCCCACGCGTTCAAGGATGCCTGCCGAACATCTTCTGCAATCCCATAATTCGAATGAGCCAGGAGGAGCAGGGGCGGGAGAGGAGAATGCACAGCCGCAAACGATGCAGACCAATAATCAAGGACAGGATCCCGGTAGATCATCTACGCTACGCGACTTGTGTGACTATTCTCCAGAGTTGTGCATGGACGTCTGCAACGACATTGCTGAATTGGCAGCTTCGTTGTGTGTTATTCTGTGAGATATGCTCGGTATTGGTACGGTGAATTGGTTTTGTTAGGTCAAAATACTAGGGAAATCATTACTGCTAGTATTGAATACAATAGTTATTCATTTTCTTTGATACGTTTTTCGTGTCAATTCTTCCATGTCAAGTATGCCTGCAGTACGTGACTTGACTTTTCTTATCCTCACTATCATGAAATCACAAACACAGAAGAATGTTCAAAAAAACAAGTATTTAGAGATAAATAAGGCACAAGCAGCGCCAAATCGCCATTAATCTCCACACCCATCCCACTATAATGATGATAGAGAAAAGAATGAGAGAAACGTAGCTAGCATTACTACATACAACTCCATGCCCCACTTTCCCAACACAAAAAAAGAGGGATGTGTGATGCAGCGAAGGGGGAAAGAGAAAAAAAATGGATTCACACCTACAGAGAAGCATAATGAACAGCTTTTAAAAACCACAAGAAAACGGCGAGCTGATCCCCTCTAAAAGGCGAGAAATTTTTTGTTTGTGAAGCTTACAAAAACAAGGCAAGGAGGGAGAGATAGAGAGAGAGGAAGAGAGGTTTCAACGTTCGCATCATACCCGTCGTTAAAAAAGCCGTTAACACGAAACCGAAAAAGAAACAAGTGGGGGTATCAGAGTCGGTGAGAAGATAGAGATGCGGCCGCCGAGAAAGAGGGAAGAGTCTCTATGACTCGCCTCCGGTGGATGCTGCCGCACCTTCACCTGCACCGCCCCTGAAGGAACCCCTTCCTCCTCGTCCGCCACGAGCGCCTCGCTCTCCACCTCGTCCACCCCGTGAAGAGCCGCCACGACCGCCGCGGCCACCGCGACCACCTTCGCTATCAGAGGCACCTCCACTTCGGTAGCCGCCGCCTTGAACACCGCCTCGGTTGCTGGCCTGCCAGTTGCCAGCGCCGTACCTGGGTTGGTTGCTGCCCGGACCGCGTTCGTTGTAGATCTTGACCGTCTTGTTCTCTGGTCCTCCTCTAGCATTCCTGACATCGTCCGCAACGCGGCGAAGAGCGCCATGCATATCTTGCGATGTGGGGAAGTGGGCGACAAAGAAATGCTTGATCTTTTCAATCCTCTCGATCTTTGACCGATCTTCCTCCGCCAGCAGGCTCTTGGCTTCCTCTTCGTCCTTGACACCAGCGATGAACAATCCCTTGCTCTCTTTCCTCTCGACGGGTTCTCTGGGTGCTGGCGATGCTGCTTTCTCTGGTGCCGAGGTGCCATTGGGCTTGGCTTCACTAGGAGCCGACTTCTCAGCTCCAGCGTTGGAGGCTCCGTTGTTGGCTGGGGGTTGTGGAGTGGCGGCTTTGATGGGCTCCTTGGGGGTAGCAGCGCGTACGGGCTGGGTGCCGCTGTTGGGCTTCTGCTGAGGAACAGGTGGGGTGGCGACCGCTGGGCGGGGTTGCTGAGGGGCGCTCGTGGGGGGACCACCTTGACGTCCAGGAACAGGGGATGGCTGAGCAGAGGGGCTGGGGTTTACAGCAGCCGGAGGGCCACTTGAAGTATTGGCGGCCGCAGGCTGAGTCTGGCCTGGCGCGACCTTGCCACCTCGGTGGGCAAAGTTGAAACCCTGAGCCCTCATCTCTGTACCAATCCTGCCATTGTCAATATCCAGGACAAGCCATCCATAGGCAGCATCCGCGAGGTTGAAGTTCCACATGTTCTTGAATGCACTCTCATCGATAACGCCGCTTTGGGGGCCTGGAGCAGGACCGCCAAAAGGATTACCGCCGTTAGCTACTGTGGGCATCTTGTTCACTATTTCAAGTGCCAGAGCGAGGAGGCGCTGCTGGGACTCGCTATCGGCGACAGCAGGCTCGACTTCAGTCTTGACTGTATCCCAAACATCATTGAACGAAGCTTTGGAAGCGGCGAGCTTTCCGCGGTAGTGGTCAAGGGTTGGGTTGACGCTAAACTCGTTATAGGAGCTGCCGTAGCGGAAATGCAGACCAGCAGAAATGGAGAAGTCGGCTTTCAATGTGACGGACAGCTGGTTGAGCAGACCTTCACGCGCGGGGGAAGCATGGGTGACGAATATGCGGGTTTCGGTCGGGTCGTATACGCGGTTGGCCGTGTCGACGAGCTCGCCCATTTGCAGCAGGGTGGTCCACATTGTACCCTGTCCACCTGCAATGGTAGTCCTGCCTTCGCCGTTGTCGAAGAGCTTGTGCATAACGACGGCACCGCCAAGACCGAGTAGTCGCAGCTTGACACCACCGACGTCGAGTAGCCGTGAATGCGCCTCGTCGATGATGTGCAGGTTGTCCACCTTGTACTCGCCCGACCGCAGCTTCTCAAGGACTTGGACATCCTCGCATGCTCCCCACACAGTGTATACAGGCACGTTTAGTGTGAAGGTCTTGTTTAAGAAGAGGGGCAATTCTGAGAGGGGCAGGTGTTCTCTTGCAAAGCGCTCCTTGATGGGAGGCTGGGGCGGTGCCGAGGCAATGGAGCGCTTGACCGTGTCTGATAGGAGCGGCGAGTACTGGGCTACGTGCTTGAGAGTCCTGGGCCAGTCAGTTCTGGACGAGGGTAATTGGATATGTGCGGGCACCTACTTCTCGGCAATGCGATCCAGCGAGCGGTCATCGTAGAAGCCGAAATCGCCAGTGTGGATGATGTAGTTTGCGCGGGCATCGGCGGCGAGCTGGTTCAGCGATTGCAGGTTTCCTTTACAGCGTCAGCGTATGCCATTGCACCCAGGACAGAGGTTGTGCCCACCTCGGACATCGGCAATGCAGAGAACTCGTACGCTTCCTTGCTGGATCACGCGGCCCTGGTTAGGAAGCAGCGGGACAGCTCCAGGCGCTGGGCCCGAGGGGACACCAGGAACGCCGCCGTTGGGAAGGTAATTGCCTGGGTAGGGGCGCGGCTGATTGGGAGCTTGCTGGACGAAGTCAGCATCGAAGTCACATGTGGCGGTATCAGCGCGGGAATGCCTGACGTACTGAAGCCATGGAGTCGGAGGCGGAGGGGTCAGGTAACGTGTCCGAGTGAGGTGTACAGACGTGGTGATGGGGGGAGGGCGCGGGCGGGGCGGGGTAGGGAATTACAATGTAGGGACTAAGAGAGAAGAATAGTAGAGAAGGCCTCCTCGTTTGTGATGGCAGCGGCGAGTTTGTGCTGGCCGCTGTTGCTCCTTCTGTTTTTGCTAACAGCTTTCCGCCGCACAGACCCCGGGTTAGCGCGTCCTATCACCTTGTCCTGCGCCTGGCTGGACCTCCCTGTGCCTTCGACCTTCTACCTTTTCTTTCGCATCCAGCTCTGCATACATTCTCTGTATCTATCTTTGCCTCATTTTCTGCTCTTTGCAATCCCATGCCCATTGGCCCGCCACAGCCTCAATCTGCTTGTCTCTTGTTCACTGAGCGCCGCCTCCCCCATTCCACTATGCTGCTCGTCATGGCTACGGCACGGCAGCCAGCCATTTCCACCCCCTCTCCCGATTGAGCACCAAAACTCCCCATATCAGCGCCACCGCACCGCCCATTCACCCTGTTTACACTACACGCCCCCTCAGCATACATGATTGATGTTGCTGCGGCTGAGGCGACTGCGCTCTGAGCTCCAGAGCTGAACTGTCTGTCTCTTCTAAAATTTGCTCGAGTGGCCGGTCAAAGCTTTGTCCAGCAATGACAGGCCTTTTGTGCTGCACAATGGAACACGCAACCAATTATGCTTTCTGCGCACGCACTTGGGCTGCATACTGCACGCAAGCAGCCTCCGGTGGAAGCCATAGCTCCTCCGGCCGCGCGCTGCCGTCATTGGCTACCAGCATGGCTTACCTAATTCGCTGGACCCTGAGACTAGCGTAAAAAAAGTTCCAATCCCCACCTCACAGAATGTGCGGCCCAGCGCTCTTCCTCCACAACTGTCAATATTGGTCTGCGCTGTTCTGCGAAAGACCACTCTAGGCCAGCTTTCTACATACTTACACTGTGAGAGCGCCGCCATGGACGAGCAGCAGTTTGTCCAGCTCCTCGAGGGCCTCCTGGAGCGTAAGTAGCCTTGCCCCGCCTGCCCATGGTTCTCGACTGATAATTTTCCAGCCAACACCGAGCGTGTCAAGGCCGCTACTTCCACCCTGAACAAGAGCTACTACAGCTCTCCTGCCTCTCTGAATGCTCTGCTTCAAATTCTCTGCGCCCACCCCAAGCCTGCGCTGCGCCAATTGGCTGCCGTAGAGGCGAGGAAGCTCGTGACAAAGCACTGGGCAAACCTCCCTGCTGAACAAAAGGCTTCCCTTCGCAACCAGATCTTCCAGTTCACACTCAACGAAGATGTCGCTCTCACCCGCCACTCTGCTGCTCGTGTCATTGCTGCTATCGCAGCCATAGACTTCGAAGATGGCGAGTGGGCTGACCTCCCCGGCTACCTCCAGCAAGCTGCTACCAGCGCCAACGTCCGACAACGTGAGGTTGGCACTTACATCATCTACACAACTCTCGAATCGGTTGGCGATTCCTTCCCCGCTAAGCCCGCCGATCTGTACAAGCTATTCAGCTCCACTATCCAAGACCCAGAGAGTGTCGAGGTCAGGATCAACACCATGCTTGGTCTCAGCCGTCTGGCCATGCTTTTGGAGCCCGATGAGGACCCCAAGGCCCTTGCTCTATTCCAGGCATCTATTCCCGCCATGGTCAACGTTCTCAAGGCTACCGTCGACGAGGGTGATGAGGACCGTGCTATGCAGGCATTCGAGGTCTTCCAGACCCTTCTCGGCTGCGAGTCTGCACTATTGGCAAAGCACTTTGGCGACCTTGTCAAATTCATGCTTGAGCTTGCCTCTAGCACAAATGTCGAGGACGACTACCGCTCCCAGGCTCTTGCCTTCCTCATGCAATGCGTTCGTTACAGGAGGCTCAAGATCCAGGGTCTCAGGATCGGAGAAGAGCTGACCCTCAAGGCTCTGCACATCGTCACTGAGCTGGGCGATCTGTCAAGTGAGGACGAAGACGTCACTCCTGCCCGCTCGGCTCTTGGCCTCCTCGATATCCTCGCTTCCAGCCTGCCTCCAAGCCAAGTAGTGATTCCTCTGCTTAAGAACCTTGGCCAATACTTCCAATCACAGAACCCTGACTATCGTCAAGCTGGTATTCTGGCTCTGGGTATGTGTGTCGAGGGTGCACCTGATTTCATTGCCACTCAGCTTCATGAGATCTTGCCCATGGTTCTTCACCTGCTTGAAGACCCTGAGCTCAAGGTCCGGGCTGCTGCTCTCAATGGTGTTGCGCGCTTGGCTGACGACCTTGCCGAGGATGTTGGCAAAGAACATGCCCGTCTCATCCCCGCCATGATCAAGAACTTTGACCTTGCCGCCAGTAACTTGCAGGGCACAGAAGATGACCGCAGCCTCTCAATTATCCGTGGTAGCTGTCACGCTATTGACTCCCTTATCGAGGGTCTGGAGCCTGAGGATGCTGCCACATACGTGCCTGAGTTGGTACCGCGTTTCAGCAAGCTTTTCCATCACGAGGACCTCAAGGTCAAGAGTGCTGCTATTGGTGCGGTCGGCTCCATCGCCTCTGCCGCTGAGAAGGCGTTCATTCCCTTCTTCGAACAAACCATGAACGAACTGTCGCCATACGTAAGAATCAAGAACAGCCAAGACGAGCTTGACCTTCGTGGCGTCACCTGCGATTCGATGGGCAAAATGGCCTCTGCAGTTGGCCCAGGGCCATTCGAGCCTTTTGTCCTGCCACTGATGGAGGCTTCTGAGGAGGCCTTACATCTCGACCACCCCCGCCTCAGGGAGACCAGCTACATCCTCTGGAGTACCATGGCCAAGGTCTACGAAGAACAATTTGCCAAATACCTCCCAGGCGCTGTCAAGGGACTCCAGGACTGCCTTGACCAAGAAGAGACTGGTCTCGATGTCGAGCTTGGGGAGGAGGCTGCCGACCTGGCCGGATCTGAAGTTGTCATTCAAGGTCGCAAGATCAAAGTTGCTGTACCCAGCGACGACGGTAGCGATCTCAACGAGGCTGCAATGGACGACGACGATTCCGATGACGACTGGGATGACCTTGAGGGTATCAGCGCCGTAGCCATGGAAAAGGAGATCGCTGCTGAAGTTTATGGCGACATCATCACTCACACTCGCCGTGAATATATCCCTTACATGGAGGCCACTGTCACCAAGCTGCTTGAGCTTGTGGACCACCCGTATGAAGGTATCCGCAAGGCTGCTCTTGGTACTTTGTGGCGAACATACGCCTGCCTCTTTGGCATGGCTGAGGGTGATGGTATGGCAAAGTGGAAGCCTGGTCTTCCTCTCGCTGTTGAACCGCCAGAGGAGCTCCGCAAGCTGGCTAACCTCGTTATGACTGCAACCATGACTGTCTGGCAAGACGAAATGGATCGGTATGTAATCTTCATTTCCTCAAACCTTTTTTGCAAAGATGACACACTATTCGTTAATCCCAGCTCACTCCGATGCACAAAGTGCACTTGAGGTGAAAGCGATTCTACTTCTGAGCAACTTTTACATCAACTGGTTCTTTTAGTATATATTCGAGAATATCGCTAACTCAACCCAGTGGCACAGTTACAGACATCAACCGTGATGTCGCAGCAACTCTAAAGCTGTGCGGACCTGCAGTGTTGCTCACCGAGAACGGCACAGTGGTACCTGACATGTGCCAGCATCTGCTTGCTGTCATTACCAAACGTCATCCTTGCCAGCAAGATCTCGGCGACGATGCTGATGAGGACATTCTTGACGAATCCTCCGAGTACGACTGGCTCGTCATCGAGACGGCGTTGGAGGCTGTCACATGCCTGTCCGTTGCCCTTGGCGCGCAGTTTGCCGAGCTCTGGAAGATGTTTGAGAAGCCCATTGTCAAGTATGCCAGCAGTCAAGATTCGACGGAGCGAAGCGCTGCCGTTGGTACTATTGCTGAATGCGTTGGTAACATGGGTGCTGCCTGCACACCCTATACCAGCGGCCTACTCAAGCTGCTTCTTCACCGCCTGTCGGATGAGGATCCTGAGACCAAGTCCAACGCTGTCTATGGAATGGGTCTGTTGTGCCAGATGACGACCAACGATGACGAGATTCTCAAGTCGTTGTCTAGCATCTTCTCCAAACTTGAGCCTCTGCTAGGCGCACAGGACCAGGCCCGTCTGCTCGATAATACGGCAGGCTGTGTTAGCCGGTTTATCAGCAAGCACCCCGGCAAGCTTCCCATTGCGGAGGTTCTTCCCCGGTTGGTGCAGCTTCTCCCCCTTCGCGAGGATTACGAGGAGAACAAGCCAGTATTCGGCATGATCGTCAAGCTGTACCAGCAAAACGAGCCCACTGTCCAGCAGCTCACTCCACAGTTGATGCCCATCTTTGAGAAGGTGCTCAGCCCTCCTGAGGAGCAGCTGGAGGACGAGACACGCTCGCAGCTTGTTGAGCTGGTGCAGTATCTGCGCAAGTAAAAAGTTTCGTGTTGAAAGAGGAGAAGGGATACCCGTCGAAAGACACCACTGATGAATTGGACATGGAACGGCATTCCAGGCCATGACACGATAGAACATGACACTATATAGTATGAATTTATATTAGATTGATTAAGTGCTTTTTCTTGCGCAAGTGTGCAAACAGTGTGTGATGTGAATGCAAAACCGGAAAAGCAAAGCAAAGCAAAGCAACATGTCACATGACGACGGGTTTAGCGTTGGTGGTGGCTGGCGCGCATGATCACGATTGCGGATCGCTCTTGTTCCTGGGCGGCGTTGCGCGTTCCAGCCAAGCGTCTGGGGCAGTGACGTTCATGACGCACCCCAGACAGTGTTTAGCTTCGCGTTCATGCCTCAGTGTACCATCATCTCCTCCCCCTCCCCAACAATAACCCGCCCACTATATTCTTCTCCAACATCTGCTGCACTTTTAGTACTGAATCAACTTGTTATCATCTGACTATCCGCTCGCTAGGTCGACAGAGCTCCGCATTACCGCCGCTCGCATCTTACCGGAGCCGAGGAGCTTCACAGAGCTGCATCTACATCCCCACCGCGCCTCACCCATATACAACCAAAGCCATCATCAGCTTGCACTTGTCTCACCGAGCTTGCGCATATATCACGACATTCAGCCGCGCTGCCGTCCTCAAAACACTTCGTCCATCTGGACCAAGGAGGCGCATAGGCGCGAAGCGTCATCATGAGGCAACGACACGCACCGGGATGGAAGACGATAACAGTCGGCCTGCTTTCTATCCTTGCTGGATCTGCTCTCGCCGGGCCAGACCTCACAACAAAACATGAGAAGGGAAGATGCGCAATGAGGGGGCAATGCGGAAAGCAGGGCTTCTTTGGCTCGGAACTGCCTTGCCCAGACAACGGCCCAGCAAAAACACCCGACGACGACGTGCGCAAGAAGCTTGTAGACATTTGTGGCACGCAGTGGTCCGACTCAGACATCTGCTGCGACGAAAATCAGCTTGACGCCCTCAAAACGAACCTCGACCGCGCTACCCCCATTATCAACGCCTGTCCTGCCTGCAAGGAAAACTTCTACAATATGTTCTGCACATTCACGTGTTCTCCTGACCAGTCAACCTTCGTCAATATTACCAGGACGGAGCCCAAGGGCGACAAATACTTAGTAACGGAATTGGACAACCTGATCGCAGACCAGTACGCGTCGACGTTTTACGACAGCTGCAAGGATGTCAAGTTTGGTGCGACAAATGGCAAGGCTATGGACTTCATCGGTGGTGGTGCAAAGAACTTTACCCAGTTTCTGAAATTTCTGGGCGACAAGAAGTTCCTAGGCTCGCCTTTCCAGATTAACTTCCCGCGACCATCTCAAGAGCTCTTCCCTGGCATGACCGCAATGAGCAAGCACGCCTATCCTTGTGACACCGAAGACGAGAAGTACCGTTGTGCCTGTCTGGACTGTGGCACATCTTGTACCGAGCTTCCGGCTGTACAAGAAGGAAAGCAATGCCACGTCGGCCTGCTTCCCTGCTTATCCTTTGCTGTCATCATCATCTACTCCTGCTTCATTGGACTCTTGTGCATCGCTGTGGCTGGCCATGTCGCATATCAGAAACATTCGAGACATAAGACTGAGCGAATGCGCCTTTTGCAAGACACGAGCCCCAGCGACGATGAAGACGAAGGCGATATAGTACACAATGTTGGTATGCTAGATCGCCCGACCAAGCACTATTTTGTCAACACCTGGTGCGATCGCATGTTTAGCCGTCTTGGATACATTTGCGCTCGTTTCCCAGCCATCACCATCATTACCAGCATCATAGTCGTAATCCTAATGAGCTTGGGCTGGCTGCAGTTCCAAATTGAGACAGATCCTGTAAATCTATGGGTCTCACCAGATTCCGCTGCTGCTCAAGAAAAGGCCTTCTTCGACGAGAAATTTGGACCTTTCTTCCGCGCTGAGCAAGCCTTCCTCGTCAACGACACACTCGGCAGTCCAGGTCCCGTTCTCAGCTATGAAACACTTGATTGGTGGTTCGGTGTTGAGAACCAGATCCAGCGTCTCAAGTCTGCCGAGCGCGGTGTTACTCTAGATGACATTTGCTTCAAGCCAACAGGAGATGAGTGTGTTGTTCAGTCCGTTACCGGTTACTTCCAAGGTGATTTCGCCAACGTTGTACCCAGCAGTTGGAAGGATGATTTGCTACAGTGTGTCGACAACCCATCTCAGTGTCTCCCCACTTTCCAGCAACCGCTCGATTCGCATCTCCTCTTCGGCGGTGTTGAGGAGAGCGTTCTTGATGCCAAGGCACTTGTGGTGACTTGGGTTGTACAGAATCATCCAAAGGGTACCCCGGAGGAGCAACGTGCAATGGACTTTGAGAACGAAATGAAGAATTACCTCAAATTCGTATCCGATGAGGCCAATAAGAGAGGCCTTCGCCTAAGCTTCAATACTGAAGTCAGTCTCGAGCAAGAGCTCAACAAGAGCACCAACACAGACGCTAAGATCGTGGTGATCAGCTACATCATCATGTTTTTGTACGCATCATTGGCGCTCGGCTCAACTACACTCACTGTTCAGTCTGTCCTCCGCAACCCCGCCAACGCTCTAGTACAGTCCAAGTTCATGCTGGGCATAGTGGGTATTCTGATTGTACTCATGTCTGTTTCTGCCTCAGTTGGTCTTTTCTCTGCAGCTGGCATCAAGGTTACCTTGATTATAGCAGAGGTCATTCCGTTTCTCGTCTTGGCCGTTGGTGTGGACAACATCTTCCTTATTGTGCACGAATTTGAACGCATTAACATCAGCCACCCGGAAGGAACCGTTCCAGAACGCGTTTCTCGAGCTCTCGGACGCATGGGCCCCTCAATCTTGCTTTCTGCTCTTACCGAGACGACTGCATTCGCTCTAGGATGTGCTGTTGGTATGCCTGCTGTCCGCAACTTTGCCGCATATGCCGCAGGAGCTGTCTTTATCAACGCCATTCTCCAGGTTACCATGTTCATTGCCGTTCTTTCCCTCAACCAGGAACGTGTCGAATCAAACCGTGCGGATTGCTTCCCATGCGTTCGCGTTAAGCGCGCCGATCCAGTCGGTATGGGTTTTGCAGTGGGAGAGGAAGGTGCACTACAACGCTTCATCCGTAAGACGTATGCTCCAGCAATTCTGGGTAAGAAGGCCAAAATTGGCATTCTCGCGCTATTTTTCGGAATCTTCACAGCAGGCCTCGCTCTGTTCCCCCAAGTCGAGCTTGGTCTGGACCAACGTATCGCTATTCCAAGCGATTCTTACCTAATCCCATTCTTCAACGACCTTTACGACTACCTTGATGTTGGTCCTCCAGTTTATTTTGTCACGAAGGAGCTCAACGTTACTGAGCGCAAGCCGCAAAAAGAGCTTTGTGGACGATTCTCCGCGTGCGACAGAAACAGTCTGGCAAACATCATCGAGGCAGAGCGTAAGCGCCCCGAAGTTTCGTATCTTTCAGCCTCTGCTGCAAACTGGCTTGACGATTTCTTCCTGTGGCTGAATCCTGAAAACGAGAAGTGCTGTGTGGAGAAGGGCAAGCCCTGTTTCCAAGGTCGCCAGCCGCCCTGGAATATGACTCTTTACGGTATGCCTGAGGGCGAGGAGTTTATCAAGTACTTGGAAAAGTGGATCGAGGCTCCAACCACTGAAGATTGTCCTATCGGCGGAAAAGCCGCGTACTCGGACGCTCTAGTGATTGATTCCAAGCACTTAACCATTCCCGCTTCTCATTTCCGTACTTCGCATACCCCGCTGCGTTCGCAGAAAGACTTCATCTCTGCATACACAGCAGCGCGCCGCATATCCAAAGAGATATCAAAGGACATCGAAGCCGAGGTATTCCCATACTCAAAGTTTTACATCTTCTTCGATCAGTACGTATCTATTGTTCGCCTGGCTGGTGCTCTGATTGGATCTGCTCTAGCGGCAGTACTTGTCATCACGACCATCATGCTTGGTTCCATCGTCACTGCATTGGTTGTGACACTGGTTGTTGGTATGACGGTCTCCGCCATCATCGGGTCCATGGCTATCCTTGGTGTTTCGCTCAATGCCGTCTCATTGGTCAACCTCATCATCTGTGTGGGTATCAGCGTCGAGTTCACGGCACACATTGCTCGAGCATTCACCTTCCCAAGTCGTGCGACTATGGAGCGAGCACCGAGACACCGCTTCCGGGGCCGTGACGCCCGCGCATGGACAGCCATGGTCAATGTAGCGAGCAGTGTGGTCAGTGGAATTACCATCACGAAGATTCTAGGAGTAGGAGTATTGGCTTTCACCCGGAGTAAGGTATGTTCTATCCGTTTTATCTCTCCTATATCAGTATTCTGTACGCCTGAACTGACATGATTTGCTAGATCTTCGAAATCTACTACTTCCGGGTATGGGTCGCTCTCGTGCTTTGGGCCTCGACTCACGCTCTTGTTTTACTTCCTGTTCTTCTTTCAATTGTAGGAGGCAAGGGCTACGTCGATCCTGAATCTGAAGGCGGACTTGAGCAAGACCTCCGACGCCGGCAGTACCCTGCACTACTGGCCGAAGACGAAGAATACGACAGCGATGACTAGGAGTCTGTCCCGTACCGGGCCATCGGTCGAACTGGGATTAGGATCAAAGATCTAGTCAGCAAGAAATGTAAACTTACTTATCTGCGTCTACTGGAGTTATGGATGGGTTTTGGCGAAGGATTTTGGCTGTGTTTAGGCGGGGTTCGAGACGATCACAAGCAAAGGGTCAGAGCACCCTCACTGACAGTGTCTGATGCAGCAGATCTCCCAGCTCCAGCTCCACAATTTCCAGCTACATTCGTGTCTGCTGCTGTTGCATCTGCATTTGGGACGGTTGCCGACTCAACTCTTTCATCTTATACCAGGACCGTGTCGACAACGGCTCGCGCAGGTCTTCATTCTTTTCCAAGTATAGAAGAAATGGAGTCGTTTAGTTTGTTGGGACGAGGTGGTTCCCCTAGCCTTGGCTCTAATCGTGACAACAACGATGACTTGTATGAGCTTTGAATGAGCAGCTTGTTGTATTCTACTACATGACCTGTAGTTGTATCACCAGATAATAGCGTATTGTAGTCTGTGTGATAAAGGCAGAAGAATCAGTTGCTTATGCAATATCACATGCAGCTTCCAAGATAGAACCGTGATGGAAGCGCGTTCAATCAAAGAATGCACCCCAACTCCAATTCGATTAGGCTCCCGTCAAATTTATCCGGTGTGGCTGGCGAGTGCAACAGGTGTTTTGACGAAATTGCTGGGAATGGCCATGAGGTTTCGTGTTCGCCGGCATTGTTCCACCAATCTCAAGAACGCATCTCGCTAGCTACATGGCCCGCAAAGAAATGACGCCTTCTCAGATTCAGCATCTAGCCATGCCACGCAGTCTAAGCACCACATGATGCAAGCTTGAGTGGATCTCGGAGGAAGCCTACGTGCGGAGAGACTGCTAGACTTGGATATGCCGCCGGCCTGAGGCTCGGTGACGTCTCCGACCCCTCCACCCCACCTCCGACAACTTTTCCCCCAGACTTACCCTTTAATAGCTCCCAACACCCGCACTCTAGGTCGTCACAGACTCTTTTACTTTTTCTTTCCAAGATACCCCATTCAAATTAATTGCAAACATGTCTCTTGGAAGGAAGGTTACCCTCAACACTGGCGCTACCATCCCGTAAGTACCTCAATAACACACTACGTACATATGATGACATTTACTGATTGCCTTTTTGCTCAGACAATTGGGCTTTGGTACGTGGCAAGCTGAGCCTGGTCAGGTTGGCGCTGCCGTTCTTGAAGCCCTCAAGGTTGGCTACCGTCACCTGGATCTCGCCAAGGTCTATGGCAACCAAAAGGAGATTGCGGAAGCCCTCAAGAAGGCTTTTGGTGGTGAGGTCCCTGGCCTCAAGCGCGAGGACGTCTTCATCACATCGAAGCTATGGAACTCCCAGCACCGTCCCCAGGACGTACCAGCTGCTCTCGACGACTGCCTAGCTGAGCTCGGCCTTGACTACCTCGACCTCTACCTTGTCCACTTCCCCGTTTCCTTTGACGAGAGGTCCGATGTTCACAGCAACCTCTTCCCCTTGGAGGGCGAGGACGTCAAGATGCTGGATGAAATCTCAATTGTCGATACATGGAAGGCCATGACACAGCTGCCTAAGGAGAAGGCCCGCGCTGTCGGTGTCTCCAACCACACCAAGGAGCACCTCCAGGCTTTGATTGACGGTACTGGTGTAACACCCGCTGCCAACCAGATCGAGCGCCACCCTCGCCTTCTCCAGCCAGAACTCATCCAGTACTGCAAGGAGAAAAACATTCACGTCACCGAGTACTCGGTAAGAAATGGTTTTCCTCCAGCTTATCGTTCGAATAGCACTGACCCCACTTCTAGGCATTCGGTAACAACATGCTCGGTGTTCCTCTTCTCGTTCAGCACGATACCATCAAGGAAGTTGCTAGCCGAATTGGCGCTACTCCCGCACAAGTTATTCTCGCCTGGGCTCAAGTGGGCGGTCACTCTGTCATTCCCAAGTCGGTTACCGCCTCGCGCATCCAAGAAAACTTCAAGGAGGTTGAGCTGTCTGAGGAGGATTTCCAGAAGGTCGAGGAGATTGGAAAGAAGGAGCGAAGGCGATTCAACATTCCTTACATTGCCAACAAGCCCAGGTGGCCCGTTAACATCTTCGACGAGCCTGAAGAGAAGGAGGCTCCACACAAGGTCATTGTTTAGATGTCTGAGCATACGAAACAAAATATAATGATTTCTTAATGGTGTAAACATACAATGTTTTATTGTGCGAAGTAATTCTACCTTGCGCGTCGACTAATCCTATATGTATTCGTCCGACAAGCTACCAGTAAGTTTCCAAGACGCTCGAGGTGCATATAACTCGATTCCGATATGATAACCAAGACTAGGGATTGTTGTAGCACTGGCATATATTCTCTGAACGTGAAGGCTGATATCACCTAGCACCAAGGCAAAGGTGTAGCTAACGGATTGAAGTGCATCGCAGTGTACTTATCATTGTTGGGCATAACTGCGTTAACGTCATGTCTTGCTTTATTCACTGCTCAAGTTGCTTGGAGTGGTATTCATACATCTTGAATGACTCGAGTGCACGTGTTCTCACAGCGTACCTTGGGAGGGCTTCACCTTGGCGCCTCTTGAATGATCTCATATTACCCGTGGTGAGTGCACCTTCCTGTCAGTGCAAACGCACCAATGAGGCAAATAACATTACATTTGTATTGGAATTTCCCTTTCCCTCATGCTTGGCGAGCAAGTGAGGGCTGATTGCATGTGATTAATTCCGCTTCACCTCCGCCTTGGGTAGACAAAGACTTTTGAAACCAAGACTGCCTCCGATCACCTTTCACTCACACTTGTATCTCTTACTTGGATAGAAGTTAGTTCATCTGCGTATTTCTCCCATACACCCGCCACACAACCAAATCCAACCACTCAACCACTGCCATGACTTTACACGCTGGCACCAGAGTGCCAAATGACCGCCTCATCTTCGTTAAGAACGTCCCCAGCTACGTCGCCGACGATCAAGTTACTGATTTGTTTTCCCCATACCGCCCTGTAAGTTACAAAAACATCTACAAGGGGAGCAATATCACAACAATCGTCGTTGGCTTCCGGAGCACGAGCGACGCAGCGCGTGCCCAACGTGAGACAGATGGGAGCTGTCTAGGCAACGCCGTCATTAAGGTGGAAATGTATGAGCAGCGGCGTTCAATCCGCTATATCAGAGATCACGGATACGACAGCAGCGTACCATGGGAGGTTGGGGAGCAGGAGGAGGGATACTCCTACGAAGACGAGCAGCCTGACGAGGAAGTTCCGTCAAAGGAAGTCACCGCACACTTCTCGCCGTTGTACCCGGCTCCAGTCAAACTGTCTAGTACAGCTGCACAGGGTACCACATGGGCGCACATCGCAAGTAGCCATTACACCCAAGCAGTCACTAAGGAACCCGCCATCACCAAAGCAGACTCGGCGCCGAGTCCCGCTTCAACGCCCATTGCGACGCCGCAGATCACGACCGCCATCCCCGTCAAGCCGATTGAGCCAGAAGCTCAAGTCTCCGCACCACCGTCCCCGGTAGTAGCGGTCTCGCCCAGCGACACTACCACTATCGCGATATCTGAACCATCTGTCCGTGACGAATCGTCCGGTGACGGAGCCCACGGACCAGAAACAGAACATCAGATTATGAGGTGGAGCGGGATTATGAAATGGGCGCAGGACAGTGGTGGCGATGGTATCCAAGAGATGCAGTCTAGGCCGTATGTGCCACTTGATACAGCGGTACGTATTCGACAAGTCCATTGTCGTGATTGTGCTTTTTGCAAGTCGATGGAGAGGGTGCGCAAGGAGAATGAGTAATAATGGGTGGGATTATATATGGGTGGGGGCAGATTGGAGGGCGGGGAGTTTCTTATGTGAGGCATACATGGTAAGTACAAGACGGAGGTGATGAGTGGAGACATGTTGCTTAACAATATTTCAGCTTGTGAATAATGGACGGAGGAGAGATGGATGGGGATAGAGAGGGTGTATTGGTGCTTTGAAACACACACGGCAATTCGGACACTAAAAAGTTGGGCGTCAGCGGTGAGCGGCATTAACGGGGATCAAGTTGTAGAGCCGGGTTGCGATCAGAAGAGGCCGCCCAAGGTTAGTTGTAAAAGGGCGTGTTCCAGATGTGATCACGGGTACATAGTTGCTCACACGGGTCATGTGGTGATGATGGGAATTGAAATTTAGATATCCAACCAATGCACTTGGCAAACCAACGGCTCTACCGGATAGCGTCCAATCCGGGGCGTGATGAAAGAATCATTACTTTAGGCGTGCTCCAGTCAAATCAACGCCCCTCAGCTAGGCCCTTCGCATCAACGCATCATGGCCAAACAGCAAGCGACTGGCTCGCAACCTTTTCCGCTAGCTGCCGCGCGAGCCCTCAACGCCCTCAGCATCAACTAAAATTCCAGATGCAGCATTGTACGCGTACATTGGGACACCACAAAGACGGCCTCTTCAGCCGTATCCGCACATCAGATTGCGAAACCCCATTTATACCAGCCAATCAGCCACCGTGTTTCCCTTACCGTTTCGCATAGTCTGCTGCTCTAACCCCACCACCGCACCGCCCGCATGGCCCACCCCCCGCCTCCCTCCCCCTCGCCACCCTAATCAATTAATTCGCACGGGACCCTAGATAAGCCTGCCCTCCCCGAAAGAAAATAAAAACAAATCGGAAAAGGGACAAGAGAAAAGTCCCTGCATAAACCTCTTTTTTTGATCTTTTCCCGTAGATTCCTGCAGCTACGGTTACGTACGCATACGTTTACTACTCCAAACATACATCTACTATAACGAATCTTTCGGAGCTAGAACTACCGTTTCATCGCGCACCGCCGCACCCGCACCCGAACCAATCTTTGACCTACTACATACATTACTTTCCCCACCACCACCGCCGCCGCCGCAGCCACACAAAGAACCACAAACAACAAATAACACAACGCATACATAACACATAGACACACACACACATATATTCACCTATCCACATCTCTCTCAAGAACAATGCCCCGCTTCCTCAAACGCATCTTCCCAGACCACCTCTTCCGCCGCGACCCCACCACCCACACAGCAGACGTCTCGCACCTCCAGCGCTCGCGCCGCGTGCTGGTGCGGCCCTCGACAAATGCGCTATACGAGTCTTCTGCGTCCAACTGGCGCTTAGGCGGTGTTTTTTACGAGGGAGAAGGGGAGACGGGGAGGGAGGAAAGGCGCGCGTTGAGGGATGGGGCGAGTGTTGCTGAGAGTGAGGCTGTTGGGGTGCATGAGGGGATGGGAAGTGGCGAGGTGCATGGGCGTAAAGAGAGTAGGTCGAGGAGGAGGTTGAGTAAGAGGCATAGGATGCCTGTTTGAAAGTGAGAGGTCTTTCAAGGTATGTGTGTGTGTTTGGGTGTGGGAGGATGTACTGACGGGGTATAGGTGGTTGTGAGATTGAAAGGCCATAGGCGTTACGCTAGGTGCTGGAAAGGGGGGGGGAGTACGGCGCTTTGGGATTTTCAACCGTTGAAAATGCGCTATAGAGGTTGACGAGCGGCAATAACTGCCATCTCGCAGCGCAGTGGCCGAGGGCGCAAAGGCTGCATTGCTGAGGTGCAAGAAAGCGCGGAGTTACTGTATCGTGACCCATGGCCCGATCACGGGATCAGCGCTCGGCCTCGATGCAAGTTTGTTGCCGTGAACTCGTAACAAACGTCTCTTCGGGGACGAGAGCGGAACATGGCGGAAATTGAGCCGCCTTGTAGGGTTCTCGACCCCCTTCCCTCTCTCGCTTAGGTTTGGCTGGTTAGCTGGCGTGGGTGGGTAGTGGAGATGGGTATCGTGCTTGTACGAGGACGTCTCGTGTAGTTAGGGTTTGAATATAGAAACGTTTTGAGATTGTATTTTTTCTTCTTTTTTTTATGCAACTAACCTGGTTAGCGTACATGTGAGACTCGCGGATATACATTGTGTGAATTGCTGATTGTTGGGCTGTGACATTGTGCGAGTTGTGAAAGCTTTTGACTGGTTAATCAATTTCCTGGATCTAACTGTTCTTATTTTTATTTTTATTTTGGTAGAAGGGATGAATTGCGAATATGTGAGTGGGAAATATTGGATCTGATATCCGGTTAAGCTTGCCAACATGATTGGTAAAAGGTTAAGCGACGGATGCTCGTCTCAGCCTGTAGGATGGATACGTCTGGATTTGACAGTTGATATTGGGCGCATTCATATTGTATCGCCTACTTCAGGCTGCTACTCTTCACACCCAAAAAATACGATTCAGATCCGTGTGCACTCGTGGTATTATCATGACTTGACTTACCTTTTCATGTATTCAATTTTACTGGTATCGATTGTCGTATCTGGGCGACTCGAGGCCGCAATAAGTAACGGAAGCTTAGTATGTGGATCTTAAATTCCAGATAGTGGGGGCCCGACATAGCGGTATGTTATCATGGACTTTTGGCGAGTGAATTTGATCGAACAGTAATGTCTTAAGAGTATATGTAAATTCCAAAACGTATATTTACCTAAGTCTGGATGGCTGAGAATCAAATTAACAGTAGGTATTCTGAGGCGAATGATATGCTAGACGGAGGAAATTGAAAAGGGAGGTTGATGCGAATGAGGCGCCTTGATGTAATAGCTGCGTGGGTATTGAAGCGTCAATAGAGTTGGTTGATGAGAGGTTGGAAAACGAAGAACTCTCTAATTGGCTAGATTGGTGCTTGGAAAGGGTCTACTGCTTACGATATTCTCTGCACAACTCGTTCAACTTCGGTATGAGCAAAACTGCTGAATGGAGCTTAGGGTGGATGTATTTGACGTCTTTGCTCATATGCTTCTAGTACCTCTTTATGCGATAATACGATGAACCATGGTAAACAAAACCATCTAGAGAAGCTATCGGTAGGCAAATATGTGGTTCGAAGAATGATTCCCCGAAGAAAAAACAAGTGGCTTAGACTGTAGCCTCTTCGCTACTATGCTAGATGTCCTATCCTACGAAGAACTTAATCCTAGGCCTATGTGCTCTTGCAGGCCCTGTATACTGGCCCAGACATTAGGATGATCGAGTTTCATTCTAAGGATCGTTGTACCGGCGATATAGTCATTCTTGATTGATGGATGAAGATTCCATACGTTCAAAACTATTTCCTTTCATCAACACTGCGTTCCTTATCCTCAAATATTCTCATAGAGGAAAATAGTGATGATGACTCGAAGCTGTTTTCCCAGGGGTATCTGGGTCCCAGTTGATCGCAGTGTATAATGGAAGTTCTGTAGATCTCATCACACAGTCGACGCTGCTTATATGGCTTCCTTTGGTGTTATCCAATGAGGAGTCTATATTGCCCACGGTGCTGTATGAATAACCTGAATATGGTCCTTTACCATATGCACACTGATGAGTTCATTCTGGGCATAGCCGAGGATAGGGAGAATAATGAGAGCGACCAGCAACATGTTACTGCAGGGGTTGATTGTTGAAATGTTCTTAGAAGATTGAAGACTGGGTTTGAAGATATGTTTCTTTTTTTCAGGAGTGTATCCACCGTACATTTATACTGTTAGCATCACTATCATCTCTTGTATGTAATCGGTACGAGAGTCTGACGTTTCGAATCTGCTGAATGTTGAGCTTGATTCAAATTTACACGACGGCTCGCTGCGAGTTGACATCTTCATATGCAGATGCCATAGTGGTAATGCACCTGCTCTATGGATTGTTGTTGGATAAGAGCCACCTATCTCTTGTTCCTTGAGTTACGGAAACAGAAGAGTAACCTCAAAAGCAGTGTAAAACGAAGCCGACAGTCCTCAAGTTTTGACAGTGAGCAATGGCTCGGTTCGTTGCTAGGACTATATCGAAGTGTTGCATCTAAGTAAAATATCCAAGATGGTCAGAAATATGACATAAAGCCTAAATCTAGTTGATTGGCACCGATACGATGCGGAAGGGTTGTTTGCGGAGAAGGTAGACCAATGAAATCGAGCCTCAGAAATAACCGGCTGTATGCATATGCATACCTTTTGTATGTCCCTAATTGTGGAGTTGGAGGGTACCTCCAACTTCAGTCTGATTTGTCCATAAGAAATTCGATTCTCGTGAGTACACCTGGCAGAAGATTAAAGGGGCTGATAGTGACGATTGTTCTCGCATAGCGTCCTGTTGCGAGCACTGAACTTCGATCCCGTGCGGACGATAGTGAGAGCCGCCAGCCGATCTCGACGGATGTGAACGACCTATTCCCCAAATCGGGTTTTAGCGCGGAGAACCAAACTCGAGATTTGAAAATGAGAAGCTCATAGTATCGCCGGTCGGATCGAAACTGTGTGTTGATTAAGGGCACACGTGCCGGACCTCAGGTGTTAGCCTCACAGCAGTGCTGTTCATACACTTTGAGGATGGAAGCCTTGGGGTCAGTACGCATGATGTCGGGGTCTGATGTACGTATCCTTCGGGGCGGATCATAAATATTCCCTCGGCATCGAGTCATGGGTAGCGATTCGATTAAGTGTCCGTGTACGTTGTGATATTCGGCTTTTGCAATCCAAAGAGAGCCGAGGTACGTAGATCCCTTTCTCGAACTTAACCTGCATCCTTAGTCATCTGTACCAGTGCAATGATCTGCCGGCCATGGTTTCTCCCGGTGGATAAGTGCCCTATTACGATGTCTTGAAGCAACGTGTGGTTCCGCCAGTTGGATATCGTAGATCAGAAAAACCCAGTAGCCGAACGTAACAGTCCTTTAATCAAGACCAGGGACAATTGCAAGGTTGCGACAATTGATCAATAGACGGTATGTTTGTTCAGTCACCCGTTCGAACATGTATATCCATAATTGTGTCATCCGCTACTGATATACTCATAGAGACCATTCGGAAACGGATGTAACCTAGAGACTTCATCGACGATTTGATCTCAGGGCGGGATCGTACATTTCAACATACCGCACGAGCTGGGTCGATATAAGTAAAGACTTTGGTTTTTGACCCGTCACGCGGTCAATTTGCGCAGATACCATGTCCATGCGAGCATTGGGCGGCGGGAGTCTGGGCTTTGCAGTAGCCTGTTATACGACAGTATATATAGCGCCAAAAAACAAAAAAACAAAACGGCTGGTGCTATTGAAATCTCCAAGACATGGGATGGTGGTTGGGGAAGGCTGGTTCGGATAAGATTGCCAAACGCAGAGGGGAAACCTTACCCAACGTACATGTGTATGTGCATACACTACGCCCCCACAATAGAAAGAGAAATTTCCTGATAGGCACATACGCGAGCAATCCTCGTCAGTTTTTCCTGCGCCCATGTTCTCTGTTCGCAGAGTGGTCGTGGGACCCCTGCACAATGCTCGAACAAAACACCTTGGCGCTGGAACATATCAGATCTGCTATCGCGGCAGTTATTCGCAAGATAACGACTGCTAAAACCCTCATTGGGGCAGAAGATATCACTTGAATGACATGTATCCCATGTGTAATATCTGCCCGAGCATGCTGGTCGCCATAAGAGCAATTGAGGTTCGTCAAGATAACGTTGGGGCTGCTATAAGAGACCTAGTTACGGTCCACTTGGTCATTGACACAATAACGTTTTGGTAATACTAGGATCCACTGAACACTGAAAGTTTCTTTTCATGCAAAAGATTCTTTTCGCTGGCCCAGTTTTCACCTCCGGTAGCAAAGCAAGTACCATGATCAGCCGGTCGTAGAGCTTCAATGGGGAAACATCCAGAATACTGTACCCAAGACGCGTATACTCGGGATGTTGGTGCCGAAGTGACATTCCGCGTACGTCTTGTTTGTATATTAGTAGCATCAATCCGACCAATTGGACATGTTTAGTTTGCTACGACATACGATACTAGGCCACCCTTGCCGGCAAGCCTCGCCGCTATCTTCCGACAAACTCACGGCTGGCAATGGCTTTTATGGTCCGGTAAGGACAGTGATTCTGCGCAAGTGTCATCATGCTTGTGGCCGGTTCTCGGGCTAGAGGCTTCCGCTCTTGTCTCGCTTAAGAATGTTCGACATGCAAGCTAATGACGCACGTAGCTGCATCCGCGAGTGTCCTAAGTGCGGACTTTGTTCCGAGCTAACGTGTCTGTGCACCTCGTGCACGGATTCATCTCGTGCACGCTGAACACCATCTCAGCGATCTCAAAAATGAGGCTTTACAACGCCACATAATAGCTTAATATTTATAAAAACGTAATGTTAT